TAAAAATTATTGTACAATAATAAAAGTGTGGTTATAATTTTATGTAATTAAATATATTTTTCGGGGTGTTTTATCCATATTAAATGAAGTGTATTTTAAGTTTCCGATCTATGCAGGTTTTAGAGGATACATCAATATATAATGTAAAAGGTAAAATTTTTATACATAACGTTTTTTCTGCATTTTTTTCTCTAATAAACACTTACCTAGATAGGTATACCTATAATGTTTATTTTGTATTTTACTGCAAAAAGACAGGTATATACTACCTATCACGTCTATTTTCTCAATGAAAATGTACCTGTTGATATCACTGTCGAATCTAGGATGGCAATAAACAGAATATTATTTGTTTAAGACCACAATTTCACTGTATTTTTACCATAAGAACTAAGAAGTAAGGGTTCACCATTTCCGATTGCATTTAAATTCAGCTAAATGTATTAAAATGAATCTTCTAGCAGCTTAAAGTATGAAGTTTGGAGAATGAAATCTCCTACTTTTTATTTGTCCTGTTTATATACTGAATTAAAAAAAAAAATGATAAAAAGTGATTTTAAAACCAGAGTTAAAAAGTAGGAGATTTTATTTTACATATTTTTCCAAGTATTTCGCCAAAATATTTCTAAATTTTATTGAGTGTTTGTCAAATATAAGTGGAATTACAATTAAGAAATATTTGAGAAATTTATTTGTCAAAATCATCCATTTTAAGTAGATGTCATAGGGAGATGTCACCATATAAAAACAATGTTGCCACTCTGTTTTTAAAGATGGTTTAAATAGGCGAATAATTGTTTAGAAATACTTATTTTTGAATCGGTATGCCATCATTTATTGCTTCGTGCTTTAGATATCGAGGATCTCAGTGCAGTACTTCGTATATTTTTTTACATGATTTAAAAAAAAATATAAAAACACCGTTTCTCATAATGTTGTTTTGTTCATATTGACTGTAAATAACTAAAATGCAAAATAAAAACTTAACGAGGTCTTGCATTGTGACCCTCGATATATTTATTTTCCCAATGTATGCCACGTTGCCAGATATACAATAATTATCGTTTTATACGATAATTTTGGGATTTTATACCAGTTTTGGTCAACTTTTCTGTACATAAGATCTACTTACTGTATACAGATATAAGGAAAGTAAAGGAATCGACCTTGAGTTTTCGACGGATTTTTACGTTTTGAGGTCCCCTGAATCCGTTTTGACTATTTTCGCGATGATATCTGTATGTGTGTCTGTATTCACCATAACTCATGAACCGATACACAGAAAAACACCAAATTTTAAACTTAAGCTTTATTCCAGCGTCCAATGAACAGATTAGAGTCGGAACATCTGGGGGGTACTTTATAGGTGGTCATTTTTATATTTTATGGAATATATCTGTTACGTTTTGGAGAAGAAAATTCTTCAAATAAAAGTTACTTTTAATATTATTATCTATAATTTTTGTTCTATAGAAAATTTTCCTAAAATGGTCCGTATTCGAGAAATTTGACAAAATGTAAAAAAAATTATTTTTTATAAAAATTGTTCAAATAAAAGTTGTTTGTAATATAATTCTCTATAATTTTTATTCTATACACATAATTTCTCTAAAATGGAGCGTATTTGAGATATTTGAGAAAATGTGTAAATTTCGAATTTTGAAGAAAACTCAAAAACAGATAAAGAAAAAACATAAAATTTTAAACTTAAGTTTTATGACGTGAAATGATTAGATTTTGGACAAAGTCGGAACATCTAGGGGGGTTCTTTATGGGAGGCCGTTTTTATATTTTATGGAATATGTCTGTTATTTATATTTGGAGAAGAAAATTGTTCAAATAAAAGTTATTTCTAATATTATTATCTATAATTTTTGATTAATGTCAAAATTTCCTGAAATGGTCTGTATTCGAGAAATTTGACAAAATGTGCAAAATTCTGATTTTTATGAAAATTGTTGAACTAAAAGTTGTTTGCGATATCGATCTCTATAATTTTTGTATATACATGATTTTTCTAAAATGGACCGTAATGGAAAACTTTGGGAGGAAGAGTCCTAAATTTAAATTTTTCAGTATTTTCGTTTTCAATGAATATCTATAGAAAAATGTTTCGAGGTGGAAAATGTATATATTTAGTTTATCCTCTAAACATTTATAGAGGTGCTACAATAGATTGCACAAAATAACCGGAAAAAGCCTATAATAACTAGATAGGAAAGTCATGTTTTTATCTTAAAAGTATGTCGGAATCGACTTGTTGTCACAGGCGTAGTCTAAGGAGGAGGAAGGGGGGTGTGTAATGTATACTATGTTTATACACTGTGTTTCAGGGAATTTTTATTGCAAAAATATGGAATGGGAAAAAGGGAAAAATGAAAATAAACTTAAAATATGGGAATTCTTTTTGACCACGTTGATTTTTGGGGAAAAACAATAAAATAAATTTATGTTGTTTTTCCCGCAAATTTATGCTATTTATTCTTTGTTTGTGACTTTCTGAGTTAATGTTTTGTATGTTGTACATGTCTGGGATCAATTCTGGAGTTATAGGAATCTTTTCCTGTAGGAATTTTTGACATTTTCCTATCTGTAAGAAAATCATGACATTTTCTTACAAAACAATGCTAGTACTTGTGTTACATTTAAAATCAAGAAAGAACAAACTATTTAAAAAGTATATATTCATTTAAATAACAAAATAGTTGTTAAATGTTTTTTATTTTACAATTTTTTACCGAAGAGATTTTTATTTTACAATTTTTTTACAAAAGGTACTTTTATTTTTTTTTATTTTATAACTTTTTTACCACAAAAGTATTAAAAGTGGGAAAAATTATGGGAATTATAAAATTGTCTGTGAAAAAATGGGAATTTTTTGCGCATGTGTGAGAATTTCTGTTAAAATTGGTTGGCACCACTGTGCAAACACAAGTCAAAACGAATTCCAGGACTTTATCTGTGCAAACACAAGTCAAAACGTATTGTGCTGGGTAGGCAGAGATCACAATGTCAGGCTGTCAGAATTCCTGGACTTTATAACCTTGGCAGCAAATTGTTAGAAAGTTTTGTCTTCTATAACCTTTTCAAAGTTCATGGTACACAGAATTCCACCCCAGACATTACGATGGACCAAAATTGGCCTCGCGATCGATCGTGATCGACTTGTTGGCCACCATACAATGTACTATTGTAATGTATGATATAATTTCACAATTCTTTCAATAATTTGATTCAAACTCCGTAAGACTTCGATAATTCAAACGAATTCCATTTTAAAGTGGGCCCCGGGAATTTGTCCACCCTACCCCCCCCCCCCCCCCCACTCATCGGGCCTAGACTCATAGGGAGGATTAATTTCCTTGATCCCTCTATCTACGTCATTGGTTAGTGTGACGAAAATGACGGGAATAACGTATGAAATTTGAGAATATGATAGAAAGGTGTTCTGTTTGAAATAAAAATCTACCTGTCCCAAACAATTTTTCTTGGGAGATTTTACTAATGGGAAGCTTTTAAATTGATGCACTGTATGTTTTTTTTGTAACAAAATGAGTGTATATTTTGATTTTTTCTATTAATAATTATTTTAAATTTTATTTCATTTGATGCACTGATAGTTATTATTAGATTTGTAACTATATTTAGTTAGTCATCTCTTCAGGATCACCATCAATTTAACGTTTTTTTAATTAAGAGTCTTTATCTTTCTTAAGAAAAGAGGAACTAATTTCAAATTTAGTTGGTATGTTTAGCGTTATAATTTAATTATTTTTACATACAAATATTTTTAATATAGACCAATGGCGTGTCGTTTAGAGGGGTAAATATTAGTATTTAAAAAAATATACAGTGTTATAACTCGATTTCCAAAATTATTTTTCTGTTTATTCAATTTTAATTAATAAATATATCTAATTTTGCTATTTTTTCTCTTTTCAGTGCTTCAAAACCAATGTGTCGAATCGCAGTTAGTCCGAAAAATGTAACGGGTAGGAGTATGTTGGAGTTGCTAGTATATCCATCAATTTTAATCGGTTTTAAAATAAGTTTTTGTTCGAAAAGCAACTCATGTTTGTCGACGTCGTCTATACCGATGGGACATATGCGCAGAAACATAATTTCTGTATGTTGTATCGATATAGACGATGTGGTGTATTTGTAGTCGTTTCTTCTGACAATAAAGACGTTAGGTCTTCAGAACTTTACACCTTCCGAATTTATTTACTGTGGAAAAAGTACGATCGGAAAATGATTCTGCAGTATTTAGTTTTTTGATGGTGTAAATTCTGCACGGATCCAACGGACAAGGCTGCAGAAATACTGGCCGGCGATGGTTTTACGATTTTTATTAAACTCAAATGAACTTATTTGGAAAAAATCGTATTTTTTTAATATTTTAAATTTTTAAAATTTCTCGAATTTGGCAGTATAAGAACGTCTGTTAATTTTAGTAATAGGAAATAATGTGTTTTTATTTTTAACTTTAACATCTTGTAACACGAAAATGGACGGTTTTAGAATATTTTTTAATCAAGCATAATTTTACATACAACAAATGTAATTTTTTAATTACCAAGTATAAAAATTTGAGTTTAATAAAATCTTGGAGGCATTGAAGGCTTGCTATTGAAACAAAATGAGTCGTTGAGTATTGAGGTCAGAATGAAAGATCGTCGCCGGGAACAGAATATTTCCGGAAATAAATATACCGGGTGACGCGAAAAAATGGTTTTTGGATCTTGGATGGGAAAAGCTGAGAGAACGATTGGACCATGGGACTTCGTTGACTTCAATTGAAGGTGAGTGTTTATTAATTTCTTATTTATACTTTCGATACCATTTATGAATAGATTAATAAGTAAACTAGGTAAATAATACCTTTAATAATTGGTACTGTCATATATGTGTTGTAATTTTTCAAACACTACATATTTTTGAAATAATTTTCATATAGAAAAAACAGATTGAGCCAGGAGGGAAATTTAAGACAAAAGTTGTAAAATATGTAAACATTTATTTTCAGCAAGACAGCAAGTCGGTAAAAAATATACATATACCAGCTTAATATAAGTTAACACTATTTAAAATAAATTACACCTTAATTTTAGAATGATTAATGCTTTATTTTCATCCAGAAAAGACTTGTAACCTCCATTGACCACCGCATCTAAAACGAAAATTTGAACATGTATTTGAATATTAACACAAAAACTATAGAAATCTATATAAGTTTTCACCTCTGAAATATGATATTAAAATTCAGATTACACTTGTTAATCCAACCAATAAAAAAGTAAAATATTGGAACACCCTGTATAATAATATACAAAGTATAATATGTACTTACAGATCATGTGCAATAAAAATAAATTTTTAATCTTATAAAAGTTGATATTTACAAAAAAATTAATCTGGTATTTTAGGATTGCGATAAAACTTACTGGCAAGATCTAAGCCATCTTTGATCCCAAGCTCGTATAGCTGCTGTCCTAGTTACTGGTACGGTGCCTGCGGATCCGCCACATCTCACGCATTGCTTGACCACCCGAGGCGTCCTTCCCAAGTATAAATGTCTAATCGAATCAACGGTTTGAACAGGGCTGTTGTCTACGTTGTATACAAGACATTCGGGTTCGTTATTAAATTCCAACTAAAAAAAATTCCCTTCAATGAATATTTCCGTGGTACCCTCATATTATAAGAATGTAAAGCATGAAGATTTGACCAAAATTAAGATGTCAATAGATTCTAACAGATCCTGGTTTGTTGCCAGCAAAAACAAAAAAAAAACCATCGAAAAGCAATTTTATTTTGAATTTCACAGGTCACATGACTGGCTCCCACCACCAAAACATAGTACACAGTTTATTAGTTATTAAACATCATAGAACTCTTGTGTGCCTTCCAGGAGTCTGATAAACCATAAGTTTGTTGTCTATGAATTTATGTAATTAAGTTTGGTTGAAACTAAGTTAAAACACAGTGTTGATTTTTTACAATACCTGTAGTGGTAGTATTTGTTGAGCCAATTGTGGAGATCCAAGAACTACTCTATTATTACATGGTTGGAGGAGTTGTATTTGAACTTGACTCGGTAGCTGACAACATTCATCTGAAATTGTTTTAAAAATACGATCTTATAATTCCAATTTCAGGATAAACATGTAAAATGCAATGAATGATTTCTATAAAACAAATTCGATTGGAAGAAAGGAACAAAAGAATAGAAAGATCAAAAACGAAAATTAAGGGATTTAAATTGAAAATAAACAGCTCAGGATAGATGTAAAAGTACAAGAAAAAAGAATAATAAAGCTGGAAAAGGAATTGAGGAAACTAATAAATAAAAATAAAACGAAAGAAGTGATGAAGGAACTGGCAGTGGAACTCAATGAAAAAAGGATATAGTTGAAATAAGTATAATAGGAATTAAAATTGAAAGCAAAGTAGAGTCAATGTTAGTGGAAATTAGGGATTGGCATAAAAAAAAGAAATAATTAAGACAACCTCGAAGCTAAAAGGTACAAATATATTATTAGATGAAAATTATCAGAAAGAAATTCAAAAAGAGCGAAAAATATTAAGAAAGAATGGATTTAAAGCAAACTAAAATTAATATAGTAGAAGATTTAGGTTATGGAAAGGCACGTCTAACAAAGAATAAATGAAAAGAGGAAAAGCTGGATGAATATTCAGTGAAAGATCGCCAGATAAGGAGGCAGAACAGTATGAAATGATAAACAAAATGACTAAAAAACAGGAAAAAATGAGGACACTTGAAAAATCTAACAAGCAATATAGGGAAAATGAAAATAAAGCAGATAATACTGAAACAAAAAAGATATAGAAAAGAAAATGCAGAAGGGAATTGAGAATAAGTACCTGGAATATTAGAACAATGTTAGAACCTGGAAAAATGCAAGAAATAAGATGGAAAGGCAAAGGAACAATTGAGAAAAAAGGATTTACGTTGAGATTGTTTTGGTAACGAAAAATGGGGACAGTATGAAATGGGATTTATAGGATTTATAGAATTTAACGAGGGGTGAAAGTTTGTAATAGGAATATGTAATTTTTTAAAGGCATGATCTTGAAAATTGGAATTGTAACTACTCATCATAAATAAATAATAATGTATTTTAGGGTTTCTGGATTTTTATATTTTAAGGGGAGTAATGGGAGGTGAAAATTTGTATGAGAGTATCGGTATTTTAAAGGTAGGAACTGGAAAATTGGAATTGTAGGTACTCATCATAAATAATTAATGACGAATTTCAAGATTTTTGGATTTTTACATTTTAAAGGGGCAATGGGGGTGAAAGTTTGTATGGGAGTATCGATATAATAAACAAATAAATAATGACGTATTTAAGGATATTTGGCTTTTTCATTTTAAGGGTGGGAAATAGGGAGTGAACATTTTTAGGTAGGGGAGTATCAATTTTTTTAAAGGCAGGAACTTGAAATAAATGAATTATGATGTTTCATACTTTTGGATTTTCACATTTTAAGAGGGAAAATATTTTTGAATTTTTACCTTTTAAGGAGGGAAAATCAATTGTTTTAAAAGTAGGAACTTGAAATAAATGAATAATGAGGTGTTTCAGAGTTCTGGATTTTCACATTTTAAGGAGGAAAAGATTTTTGGATTTTTTATTTAAGGGGGGGGGGGAAAGGAGTGTGAAAGTTTGTAGGAATGGAAGTATAGATTTTTTTAAAGGTAGGAACTTGAAAAATTTTAATTTAAATAAATAATGAAGTTTTTCAAGGTTTTGGATTTTCACATTTTAAGGGGGAAAAATTTTTGGATTTGTACCTTTTAAGGAGGGGAAACGAGAGGGTAAAAGTTTGTGGGTATGAGACTATCAATTTTTTTAAAATTTGGAACTTGAAAATTTGAATTGTAGCTACTTATCATAAATAAATATTTCAGAATTTTAAATTTTACATTTTAAGAGGGGGATATGGGGGTGAAAGTTTAATTGGGAGTATCGCTTTTTTTTAAGTTTAAAATAAAGTTTTTGGATTTTTACATTTTAAGGGGGGGAGGAAATGTGGGGTGAAAGTTTGTATGGGAATATCGATTTTTTAAAAATAGGAACTTGAAAATTGGAATTGTAGTTACTCATCATATAAGTATTTCAGGATTTTTGGATGGATTTTACATTTTAAGGGGAGGAAACAGGGATGAAATAAAAATAAATAAAAAAATGAAAATAATATAAAAAAATAAAAATATAAAAAAAATATAAAAATAATAAAGACCAAATAAAAACAAATAAATACAAATAAAATAAATATTTAACTTTTTTTTTGTGACTTTTTACATAGGACTTTGACTGGTTTTTTTATGTAGAAAAAAGAAAGATAGACTGGATCTTTATTTTTCCTTCATCAATAACAAACAAAGTGATTTTTCTTTCATACTGACAAATATTTTCCGAATTATGTATTATTTTTTTAAATCCTTACAACCGCAAAAATAGGCGTGCGCAGCGAAACAAAAATGGTCGCCAAAGACAGAGAGCTTAAGATATTTTTATATAAAGGAAACAAATAAGTAGACAGGAAGTAATGTACACACTACTAGTGAGATACAAAAGTTATAACGTGTTTTATGACGGATTTGATGATGGCTTTGTAAGCCTAAAGCGCTCAGCCTAATATTTAATAAAAAATAATTCAATTTTTACACATTTTTGAGAGTTTCAATTTTTTTTAATGGATTGACTCTGAGGTGATTCAAAACACATTTCTTACTCGCCTTGCATATTTATTCAGATTCTTTTTCCTTTAATATCAGTACAATGTGATAAAAATTATTTGGTTGCAATAAAAATTCGCGGCCATAGGTATACGTAAAAAACAATCGCGGTCGTTTTTATCATCGTAGGAAATGTGATAAGAAGCGGTTCCATCCTGTCACCGTTAGTTAAATAACGAATTATTTTCTTAGTTTTCAATTCGATCTATCGGATGAAACGTTAAAATGGCGGTGATTAAAAAGAAAATTAAACGCGTTGAGTCGAATAATACGTATTTGCCGCACAAAATTAGATCTCATCCGTTCTACTGCATTAATTTGCCTTTGAGAGTAACCGTTTTATTCATTTTTTATTGGATTGTATTAGTTCCTGTGCTCTATTACATATTTTCAACATATGTACCAGGTTTTGTTGCCAATACCCTACCTTATTTCCTTGTGATGTTTGTTGTGTTTTTAATAATAATGGGCATTTTTGTTAAAGAATGGAGAAGTAAAGCACACACTGAGAAAAAAGGTATTTATTACATCAAATATGAAACGCCAGATTCGGTAGACAATTTGGAAGTAAAACAATCTATAATAGATATCGAACGACAACCACAAGAGGTAATATTACGTAAAAAAAGCAGAGAAATGATATTCTTGTGCGACAGAAGACAAATCATTGAAAATCAGAGAAGCTTATTAATCGAAGAAATCAAAGACACAATATATCAAAGAGAAAATAAACCAGAAAGGCCTACAAATATACGAATTGAAGAAACAGTTAGACCAGTTTCACAAACCGCAAACTCCCCTTTAACTCCTAGAGAATTATTCTTTCTCGATATGTACGAATATGCTAAAGCAATGCGCGATGTAACCGATGAATTTATACGAAAAGAAAGGTATTATTATATTGCCAGTGGTCCTGTTTCTCGTTCATATTCTTGCAGTGAAAGTTCAAGTGATACTCAAGTTATTGAAAGTCCTTCATCATATGAATATCCTGATAATAACCGTTATATTCGAGGAAAAGATACTCAAGTCTTTGAAAGTCCTTCATCATATCAATATCCTGATAATGACCGTTATATTCGAGGAAAATTTTATCTTGATGATGAAGATTATCCTAAGAGCTTAAAGGAACAATCCAAAGAAAGTCAGTCTCCCGTATCCTCTGACCATTCAAATCTGTTAAAAGTACTTGAAAATTTATCTGCTGACAAGAATGGAAACGGTAGTCCGTATAGCCGTTTTGAAATTAAAGAAGTTGACAACGAAAGGTATCCTAAAAGGGTGAGTTATACGATAAAGGAACAACAGCTCCTACAACAGCAACCCATAATGAACAAACCTGTACCTAATTATGATTTAAACATTTTAAAAGTACTAAAAGAATATTCCACCGATAATGACGGGCAATTTGTTCCTCGTGGTCGCATTGAAGTTAAAGAAATTAAGAAAGAAAGGGAGTATTTCATTGCTAATGTGGTTCCTCAGGAAAGTTGCGTCACCGAAGCCTTTTTGTATGTGGATGAAATAAAAAGTGATAAAAAACCGAAACAAATTGTTGCAAAATTTCGGGAAAGTTTTTAATTCATATTGAATATTTTATTATTCCTTATATGTTTTTGTGTTGAAAATATTTTTCAAAAAAAGTGTTAATAAAATATAAAATTAAAAGTTCGTTAACTATTTATATTTTCATAAATTTATGTTTTTATATTTTTTATTCTACCTATAATTTTGGAATAACACCAGTAAATTATCTCACTTTAGCGTTGATAAGGTCGAATTTAAAGCTAAATGTCCTTGAAATGTTTTAATAGAACATTTTATTAATTACGGACTGATAAAAAAATTAATAAATTAATTTTATTTGAAAATATGGGGAATCAGATAATATATAAATACAAATTTTTATTTTCCTATTTGTATACAAATAAGGAAAGTATAGAAATCATGATTTTTTCGACCTCGAGTTTTCGTCTGTATACTCTATAACTCATGAGATAAACTGATTAGATTTTGGGCACAGTCGGAAGATCTGGGGTACTTTAAAGGAGGTCGTTTTTATATTTTATGAAATATATCTGTTAGTTACATTTGGAGAAGAAAATTCTTCAAATAAAAGTTACTTTATTCTCTATAACAGCGTTTTTCAAAGTGTACTCCGCGGAGTCCTAGGGCTCCGCAAAGCCTCTGTGGGGGCTTCGCGAAAGTAATAAATAATAATGAAACAAAAATACTAAAGGAGTGCTATGCGGAAATGAGGAAGAGTTCGCCATAAAAGCGAGAACCTTTTCTTTTTCTAACTTAGCTTGAGGACCTTTTTTTGTTTTTTTTTTTTTAGAAATGCAGAGTTGCAAAGTAAAATAAAACTTATCTAAAGTTTAAGAAATCTATTTTTATTATTTTAGAGATCCGTAAAATATTTTTGCTTTCAAACGGGTTCCGTCGCCAAAGAAGTTCCGTATTCGAGAAATTTGACAAAATGTAAAAAAATTAAAATGTTTAAGAAAATTGTTCAAATAAAAGTTATTTGTGATATTATTCTCTATAATTTTTATCTTATACATAATTTCTCTAAAATGGACCGTATTCGAGATATTTGAAAAAATATAAATTTCGAATTTTGAGAAAAACTCAAAAACGGATAAAGAAAAAAACAAAATTTTAAACTTAAGCTTTATTCCGACCAGAAATGAACAGATAAGATTTTGGACAGAGTGGAACATTTGGGAGGGTACTTTATAGGGGGTCATTTTTATATTTTATAGAATATATCTATTATTTACGTTTGGAGAAAAAAATTCTTCAAATAAAAGTTACTTCTTATATTATTTTCTATAATTTTTGTCCTATACATAATTTCTCTAAAATGGACCGTATTGGAGATATTTGAAAAAATATAAATTTCGAATTTTGAGAAAAACTCAAAAACGGATAAAGAAAAAAACATAAAATTTTAAACTTAAGCTTGATTCCAACCAGAAATGAACATATAAGATTTTGGACAGAGGCGGAACATCTGCGGGGTACTTTATGGGGGTCGTTTTTATATTTTATGAAATATATCTGTTAGTTACATTTTCAGAAGAAAATTCTTCAAATAAAAGTTACTTCTAATATTATTCCCTATAATTTTTTTTCTATACAAATTTTTCCTAAAATGGTCCGTAATCGAGAAATTTGATAAAATATTAAAAAATCAAAATTTTAAGAAAATGTTCAAATAAAAGTTGTTTGTGATATTATTCTCTATAATTTTTGTTTTATACATAATTTTTCTAAAATGGACCGTATTCGAGATATTTGAGAAAATATGTAAATTTCGAATTTTGAAGAAAACTCAAAAACGGATAAAGAAAAAAACAAAATTTTAAACTTAAGCTTTATTCCGACCAGAAATGAACAGATAAGATTTTGGACAGAGTGGAACATTTGGGAGGGTACTTTATAGGGGGTCATTTTTATATTTTATAGAATATATCTATTATTTACGTTTGGAGAAAAAAATTCTTCAAATAAAAGTTACTTCTTATATTATTTTCTATAATTTTTGTCCTATACATAATTTCTCTAAAATGGACCGTATTCGAGATATTTGAAAAAATATAAATTTCGAATTTTGAGAAAAACTCAAAAACGGATAAAGAAAAAAACATAAAATTTTAAACTTAAGCTTGATTCCAACCAGAAATGAACATATAAGATTTTGGACAGAGGCGGAACATCTGCGGGGTACTTTATGGGGGTCGTTTTTATATTTTATGAAATATATCTGTTAGTTACATTTTCAGAAGAAAATTCTTCAAATAAAAGTTACTTCTAATATTATTCCCTATAATTTTTTTTCTATACAAAATTTTCCTAAAATGGTCCGTAATCGAGAAATTTGATAAAATATTAAAAAATCAAAATTTTAAGAAAATGTTCAAATAAAAGTTGTTTGTGATATTATTCTCTATAATTTTTGTTTTATACAAAATTTTTCTAAAATGGACCGTATTCGAGATATTTGAGAAAATATGTAAATTTCGAATTTTGAAGAAAACTCAAAAACGGATAAAGAAAAAAACATAAAATTTTAAACTTAAGCTTTATTCCGACCAGAAATGAACAGATAAGATTTTGGATAGAGTCGGAACATTTGGGAGGGTACTTTATAGGGGGTCATTTTTATATTTTATAGAATATATCTTTTATTTACGTTTGGAGAAAAAAATTCTTCAAATAAAAGTTACTTCTTATATTATTTTCTATAATTTTTGTCCTATACATAATTTCTCTAAAATGGACCGTATTCGAGATATTTGAAAAAATAATGTAAATTTCGAATTTTGAGGAAAACTCAAAAACGGATAAAGAAAAAAACATAAAATTTTAAACTTAAGCTTGATTCCAACCAGAAATGAACATATAAGATTTTGGACAGAGGCGGAATATCTGCGGGGTACTTTATGGGGGTCGTTTTTATATTTTATGAAATATATCTGTTAGTTACATTTTCAGAAGAAAATTCTTCAAATAAAAGTTACTTATAATATTATTCCCTATAATTTTTGTCCTATACAAAATTTTCCTAAACTGGTCCGTACTCGAGAAATTTTACAAAATGTAAAAAAATTAAATTTTTAAGAAAAATTGTTCAAATAAAAGTTGTTTGTTATATTATTTTTTATAATTCTTCTTCTATATATAACTTCTGTCAAATGGACCGTATTCGAGATATTTGAGATAATGTGTACATTTCAAATTTAAAAATTTAATTTTTTTATTAAATATTAGGCTGAGCGTTTTCAACTTACAAAGCCATCATCAAATCCGTCGTAAAAGGCGTTACAACATTTTCCTAAAATAGTACGTATTCGAGAAATTTAATAAAATGTGCACAATTCTAATTTTTTTATAAAAAATGAAAACTAAAAATTGTTTGTATGGTGGCATGCCATATTGTCACACCCAGTAGAAATATTATATAATTTAAGTTTAAAAGCTTAATTGCAAAAACCCATCCAACATTTGTTGTGTTATTGGGTCATTTAGTTTATTTAGGAAATCAGGAATAAATTATCCTCAACATCAACCCAGGTATATCGAGGATAATAAACCTTTTTCGATTGTATGTACCATAATAATTGTTAAGTTTTAATTCTCGGTCAGTCAGTTACTCACTAACTTGCGGTTGTTCGGTGAAAAAAACAGATTTACCTTATTTTATGAAATTAAAACTTAAATAAGGACCAAAATGGTACATACAGAATATTCGACCATTATTAATTAAAAACAATTTATCTACGACTTATCTAAGGTGTCTCTTGAGCTCCTATAACGGACTGAAACGATCGACTGGCCAATAGTTTGGCACTTGTCAATAAAAATGAGTAAATCTCGTGACAAAAACTACAGTAACATACATCTGGTTTAAAAATAAATTTTTGAAAATTTAATTACTCAATCATTAGTATTTTTTTCAAAATAAAATGCATTTTTAAATTCATAATTAAATCATAAACTTACCAATTAGAGCTTCATCAGGTTCATTAACATTCTGCACCAACCTACTTAATAACCTAAACACCAAAGCCAATACGTCCAAATTAGTATCACTCTTGATAAAAACAGGTAGACATGCCGGTCTCAATAAACCCCATATCCTTATCAAAACTAACATTTCTCTCAACATATTGAGAGCTTTGACATCGCGCAACAATTCGTATGGCTTTCCAGGAACCGGTCGACTGTCTGGTAGCTTAAGTAGAAGATTCAAAGCTAAATCGGCTATCCACTGGATAAGTTGCTGCAAACTTTGCAGTGTGGTAGTTTCCACTGTAAATTCTTTAGCTTCAAGATGCATCAGAGTTAGGGCTTTATCTACGTCACTTTGACCTTCAGCTATTACACCTACAAATATGTTTAAACTTAACGAACAACCTCATCGACAGTAGAGAAAGTTTGTCTTGCAAGTTATAAAGAATCGAGTATTTATATGATTAGAAAAAAATTCGAGAGGAACAGATGAGTTCTTGAATACATTCCAATTTGTAAAAAACTAGAGGATCAGTAGTTTACAATGTGACAAAATATAATATTTCTCTTGAAAATAATATAAAACCATTTTGTGACATATTAAAATGTTTGATATCTTTGTCATAAAGCAAATTCAAAATTGACGTCCAAGAACTAAATAAAAAACAATGTTTAACAGAATTACTGTTCAAAAACTCCATTAAAAAAATTTATCCCACAGCTTATAATGAAACTAAGAATTTAAATTGTATATGTCATATTCACAAATCCAAAAGAATAATAAATTCATCAATAGATGGCACGATAAGTCGTTAGCATTGGTACCAAGGCGAAGGACAGTATGTGCACGATATTAAATAGATTATTACATTACAGTAACTGAATAATAACTTAAATACATGTATAATTAATAATTAATGATAAAACTTACTGGCTAATGAATCTGCTGGACTTTTTTCATGGCTATTCATTTCACTGGGTCTCAGTAAACTTTTGAAAGCTGTGGTAATACTGTGCAACATCAAATATTGTGTTAAATCATTAGCTTTACCTTGACCTTGAAAACTTAACCTATAAATAAAAACATGACATAGCCTGTCATTTCAAATAAATAATTATTATTGGCTATAGTTGATTACCGAAATATTAGACTGTAACTTAATGTGTAAAGAATACTGTCATATGTCATTGCGCCAAAATTAGGAGTAATTTTTGGAGGGTACAGTACAGGATTTTTTTCAGTGGTGGACATATATTGCATTTGCATATATGACACTTCTATCAGAATTTTTTAGAATATTACTATTACTCCAGTATTCAACTATAAAGCCAAAAAATGTATACTCTTTACCTATAAAGTGATATTTTGATGCATAAATACTGAACGTGGAAGAACTGTTGTACTGAATGTGGCTGTCTATTAAAACTTTCTGTCAATCTGTCACAAATAGGATCAAGCATTGCTGGTCGTAACACTAGCAAGAGATCCAGCCAATCTAGTCCACTAATTAAACAGTATTCCAAAATAGTTGTACAATATGGAACACTCAAAGGAGTAGAACTTTCAATCTACAAAAAAATATGAATGTTATTGACAAAAAAACTACTTTGAATTTATATGATATATTTTCAACAAATTTCAGTCTAAGGTGAGTTTGGGATATTCAGAGGCTGGATTGGGACAAGAGCGGAACTTTTTAGGATGCTTTTAAATGATATTTGGTGAACGATCACTAATCAAAATAAACTGAACGCCAAAAGAGTCGTTTTGAGTCAAAAAAGTTAAAGGAGTGAAGGGAACTTGTCTATTTGTCTGTTTACAAGTTTAGTTAGTGACAGTTATCAAATATACCTGATTGTTTGTAAGTTACTTAAGTTTAAAGTCATCATTTTGTCAATAAGTGATGGAAATGAAGAAAAAGCATTAGTTGGCTGTGATTTTTTACAATTTCAAGCCGAAAGAATGTTTTGAGGAAAACAATCGAGTGCTTGGTGACAAAGCAGAGGTACAATGAATTTTAATGTAGTCGACTTTCCTTAAATGAATTTTCGAGCTTCTAAACCAAAAACAGCAGTTACTGAAGTGAGATATACCATGAGAGTCGCATTATACCGCATGGCGCTTAACGTGTTAATTATAAAATTAAAAATACATATATTTTTTTTTTATATCTTACCTGTGGAGGTAACTTAAACAAATGTAAACTGTCATCTGAATCCACACACAGAAGAACATTCCCTAACCAAGATAAGTCAATATTTGATATATTTGTGCTGACTTTTTGGTATTTGGCATTGGGTTCATCCAAATACCTTGGTACAACAGATAGGGTTGTATTAACAATAGGTTTTAAAGTATCCTTGCAGAGACAATGTATAGAATTGTTTGCAAAAGTAACCACAACATATCCACTAGACAAACTGTTCACTAAACTGAGTTTGCTTGTAGATAGAGCTGTTACTAGACTGTTGTATTGAAAGTAACATTGATATTGCCATAACTGAAAATAAAAATAAGGCATTGACAAATATTCAGTTATTTTTGTTGCATCTAAATCTCGAGAATATTTGATGAGACATAATTTTGATTTTAATCAATTGATTAATACCAAAATTGGTATATTTGGGAAGACTATTTCACTAAACCAAACATTTACTATTTTTTTAGAGAAATAGTCAATGAAATAAATGAAAGTTTCCTTCTAAATTGCCATAACTGAAAAAAAAAAAAAAAAAAAAAAAAAACATTGAGAAATATTCAAGACCTTGATAAATAGTCAGCTATTTTTGTTGCATCTAAATCTCGAGAATATTTGATGAGACATAATTTTGATTTTAATCAATTGATTAATACCAAAATTGTTATATTTGGGAAGACTATTTCACTAAACCAAACATTTACTATTTCTCTGGAGAAATAGTCAATGAAATAAATGAAAGTTCCCTTCTAAATTCTAAGGGTAGACTTTACTTACAACTGTATTGAAAAATTGTGAAGTTTCGGAATTTCCAAGAGATTTATGTACAGGAAGAGCTTTCTCTCGAAGTTCCCAAACTTGCAAACAACTCATTCTTTGACTACTAGCGGCTACAACTAAAGAATCAGCATCTTCCCTCATTATCCATTTTATGTGACTTACACTGCAGTTCTTTTCTTTAACTATTTGATCCACTATAAGAAAAGTAGTTAAAGATAATTCATCTTTTTCGAAAAGATAACCTAATGGTTTATAAACTTACTTTGTGCCTCTTTGGGCGCTTCATTTAAAAAAAAACTGAGCAACGACTGGCTTTTAATAGTGCATTTTTCGTCTTCTTTTTTAACAGAAACTTTATAACACTGAATTGGCATTGAAGGATCTCCACTACTTACAGCCAATAGAAAGTGCCCGTCTAAAAAAATTAACAAATTTAGTTAAATAGAAAATTAATCAATAAATATTACTCAACTCTTTCCATAACAAATATCAGCTGTCTTGATAAAGATTCTTGTAGGTCCCAAACTTTCTGTTGCCATAATCATGGGCATTTGTGAAGTGGGTTGTGGTAGAAGAACTGCAGCCAACATACCAGTAGTGGTGAGTAAAAGAGCACCACTAGCAGGTTTGCTACCAAATTGTTTGACTGAACAAGTAAATTTAACATGTTGAAATTTTTCAATGTAAGATGAGCTATCTTTTTTGTCTAGGTTTAAAGAAATCTATAACATTAATTTATTATTAGAGCTATAACTTTGTAAATTAATATATTTTATTAGTAATACCCTTTTGCCAGAATGGAAGAACGCCGCAGCTAAAATGTGTTCACCCTGTAATACTGTTTGTAAGACTATACTCCATTCATTTAAAATGTGATCCTTGGTGGAATATATTCTCACACATCCACTTTCATCTGCAACTAATAGTAGCTCTCCAGTAAAATCCCACTGTAATACAGTGACTGGGGAAGAGTTACTCAATACCCTAAAATATAGAGTAAGATTATTTTTAAGTAGTCTCTGTTTATTATCCTGTGATTGGGCAAAATAACCAACAAATAATTTCTTGAAACTTTGAAAATATAAATGGAAATATTGTAAATATATAAAATAAGAAAACAAAACAAAATATTTATTAATAAAAAAACCTAACAAAGTACAGAATGCTTATACATGAACACAAATAGTTATTCTTCAAAAAATAAAAATAAGAACAAATTTGTTCAAAAAAATCTTATTTGTGACAAACAAGTTGAGCATGTTACTAAGAGGTATATCTTCATCACTGCCATCATACTCAATAACATCTTCTTGCATTCTTCTTACAATTTCAACTGGATTCCCACATATTTCTTAGCAATAATCTAAAACACTACTTGATCTTTTTTAGCTATTTAACTTGAGGGATGTTTACGAAATGGAAAGTGGAAGGGAATGCACAAAAAATGTTTGTGTAGTATTCCATGATCGAAAAAAGACTAATAATTTTATAGAATTATACAAAAATTTACATAATTTTACATAATTAATTTTACATAATTACTTTTACACCATTTTACACAATTTTAGACGATTTAGATCAATAAATACTTTTAGAAGTCGCAGGTTGCATTAAAGAAGTAACAGGTTTAAAGGTTTATTTCACAACATTGGAAGTAGATGGAGGGTGGCATTTCAAGATCAATGTCAATACTGAAACTGCTAATAGTACTACAAGTAGCTGTAAAACTTGAAGTTGACAGTTGTAGTGGTACTATTTCTGATTTAGAGACAATAACAGTGGAATTATCACTTAAAATGCTTTCATTTACCAACAAAAATTCGTTGTCATTGTCGCTTAATGAGGCATTTTCTTCTTCTTCACGTTGCATAAATTTTCTTCTAATTGGCATGTCATTTTTTAAAATTTTGAAAATAACTCAAAAACGGATAAAAAGAAAAATACCAAATTTTGAAATTAAGCTTTAATCCATCCTGTGGTAAACTAATTAAATTTTGGGCATAATCGGAACAAATGGGTATTTAATGGGGGACGTTTTTTTACTTTATGGAATATGTCTGTTATTTACGCTTAGAAAACAAAATTCTTCAAAAAAAAGTTGGTTTCAATATTATTCTCTATAATTTTTGTTCTATACATAATTTTCCTAAAATGGTCCGTATTCAAGAAATTTGATAAAATGTGCAAAATTCAAATTTCTAACGAAATTGTTCAAATAAAAGTTGTTTGTGATATCATTCTCTATCATTTTTATCTTCTATATAATTTCTCTAAAATGGACCGTACTCAAGATATTTTAGAAAAAGTGCAAATTTCGAATTTTGAAAATAATTCAAAAACGGATAAAAAGAAAAACACTTAATTTTGAATTTAGGCTTTTCCATCCTGCTGTAAATTGATTATATTATAGGCATAGTCGGAACATCTGGGGGATACTTTATAGTTGGACGTTTTTCTACTTTATGGAATATTTTTGTTATTTATGCTTGAAGAAGAATATTCTTCAAATAAAAATTGCTTGTAATACCATTCTCTATATTTTTTGTCTTATACATAATTTGAGATATTTGAGAAAAAGTGTAAATTTCGAATTTTGAAAATAACTCAAAAACGGATATGAAGAAAAACACTAAATTTTGAATTTAGGCTTTAATCCATCCTGCGGTAAATTGATTAAATTGTAGGCATAGTCGGAACATCTGGGGGATACTTTATAGTTGGACTTTTTTCTACTTTATGGAATATTTTTGTTATTTATGCTTGAAGAAGAAAATTCTTCAAATAAAAATTGCTTGTAATACCATTCTCTATATTTTTTGTCTTATACATAATTTTCTTTAAATGGTCCGTATTCGAGAAATTTAATAAAAAGTGAAAAATTAAATTTTTTAAGAAAATTATTCAAATAAAAGTTGTTCATAATGTAATTCTCCATAATTCTTGTCCTATACATGATTTCTCTAAACTGGACCGTATTCGAGATATTTGAGAAAAAGTGTAAATTTCGAATTTTGAAAATAACTCAAAAACGGATAGAGAAAAACACCAAATTTTTGATTCACAATTACATTTTTGCTGATGTGTCATACTTGATATTTACCCTATACCCTTGGAATAAATCTAGAGTTTTCTTGCACTTTCAAAAAATATTTACTTGAAGGTATTCTGAGATATGACTGGTCGCTACCCTTAATGAATCACCCTGTATATGAAAGCACAAATAATCTTCTAACCATAAAAAAAAACAGAAAGTTTAATTTTGTTGCATTTTAATGTACTAAAACTTAACTTATATTAAATTCTAAATATAATTTAAATTGTTTATGTAATATTTGTATTTCAATTAATTTAAAAAATTCTTGGCAATATTTCTAAAAAATGTTTAATTGATATTTTTATTAGGCCTGTGAAATCTTTAAAATTATTCATCCCATCACAAATAAATGGTTTTGATAAGATGTATAAGGTATATTTTAATTTGAAGAACCAAAAGACATGTCTTGTATATAAAATATAAAAGTCATAATATCATGATGATTAATAATAACTCTTAGCAACCAAGTTGCTTAGAAGATGAGTTTTTCCTTTGTCATACTAGCCACAAATTGAAGGGTTAGCTAAAAAGTGTTAAGTGTGTGACATTTTAACATATGTAGTGCAACTAATGCTTTACAAGGCCATTATCAATATAGGTTGATATCACACTTTACATATCTAATATATCAATTTTGGTAGATCCCTACATTGAACACTAATTTTGTAAGTATGTACTTCATTTTGAACAGTAAATGGGTATATTCATTTTTAGTTTTCAGTTAATAAACATCCTGATATGTGTGTTACATTTTGAGACAACAAGTTATAGAAACAGGATAGAATACAACAAAAACCAGTAGGTTATATGTTCCTACTTGTTAATTGACTTGAGAATATTGTAAAATTACAATATGACATCACAAAGGAGATATAAAAACAATAAGACTACAATTGAATCCGGTAATAGTAGGCAGTAATAGGATGTTCAGAATTTGTGAATAATTTTCATATGCAATAGATTTCCTCTTGTTTCTATTTTCTCATTGTCTTATTATTTCCAGACTCAACTATAAGGAGTGGGAAATGTTAATTGTTTGTTATAAAACTACAAAATATAATGACATACTTGTGAATTTGCCAGGGACTATTAAGATCTGCCACATATACATTTGAACTCCAATATAATGAATTGCATTCTTCTATATTACTTTCAGTACTGAACGCTACAACATTGGTACTGGATATTGAACATAGAATTGACTTTTCTAATCTGGAATATAAATGATTATGAATTAAGTTATGAAAACCAATTAATTTATATTAGATTACTTATTGAATATGTTCTGTTTATAAGGGTTCAACGAACGGCTGGGTTTCTTGCTAATTGTAAAAATATGATCCATTATTGTTTCCAGTTATTACTTCATACTATGCAACAAATATTTTGATTTGGTATTTATTTTTTAGAATTTTTAGGTTATGTAAAATTTCTTCTTCTTCTTTTCTTTTTTGTGCTATGTTACTCATTGCGTTCGGTCTGCTAAGTTCATTTAACTCCTTTAACACTTTTTACTCCAAACGACCCTTTTAGCGTTCGGTTTAGTCCGATTAGTGACAGTTTAACACGCTTAAATGTCATTTAAACACCCTAAAAAACTCCGATTTTGTCCCGCTTCAGCCCCTGACTATCCGAACTCGCCTTTTATGTAAAATGTCATCCACAAAGCACATAGAGGTTCCACGTGAATGACCAAGGTCAAAACCGACAACTGACATTTTTTATGCTATTTGCTCCAAACTCTAGATGGGGCTACTGGTAAAATTCTGATTTCTTACTCCATTTTTAAGCTTTATGGGAGAAAAACTTAACCAAAGACTCCAAAGATGTGACGTGTATTTATTTATGTTTTTGGTTAATCTCATTTTTCCGTCTGATTTTAGTGATTTTTTGTTGGCTTTGGCTTTTGGTTTCTGTTTATAGTTTCGTCTTAGTTATTTGCAAAATTGTGATGTTTTGCTTTTCTATTTGCTACTGTGTTTTGCAATAATTTTGGTGCTACCTGTGGGTGCTACGTTGAAAACTTCGAGAAAAACTTATTGATTCACCATGCATCTGCATCATAAAAAGACAAACGGGTATAACAACTAATTGATAATCAATTTATCACTGGACTAGATTCCGAAATCATTTTTCACATAAGAGAGTAATACACAAAGCAGTGGAGTAATACCACCATCTGTATTTGGAAGGAAAATACCTATTTATCATTGAATGAATAGTTAAAATGATTCACCTTTTAATACAATACCTATATTACATTTGTCCTCGGTTTAAAAGACATTTATAAAATATATTATTTTAGTGTTAATAAAATGTAATATCCTAGTCTCTACTTCACATTTAAATTATTGATAGGTATTTTAAAGATTTGAGAGTAAGTATTCGTTAAATATGTATTATTATTTGTATTTATTTTTATCTAATAATATTTATTTAAGTTATTAATAAACATATTTTAAGAATGTTCTATTTGATTATTTATTGATATATCTTATATTTATTTAATAATAATATGCAGAACCAACTCTCCACATCAGACCCCTGCTTATAACAAATTAATTCCTCAAATTTGGTATAATCGACCTAAATTATTTTGTAAAATAAGTTTCGAACTTACTAGTTCCATTCTTTATTTTATAAAATAATTTATGTGGAAATCATTTAAAATTTAATTTACAACTACTACCTACTCCTAAAAATTATAATTTGAATTTACCGCCATCTGTCAATTGTCATTTTAGTTCCAGCTCCAAACACAAGGTGGCGCTAATTTGGTTTAAAAGTTTAACATTGGCGTGGGGTCTCTAGAAGATACGTGCTTTGTGATGTCATCTGTCGTTACAATTGATATTCTACCTGCGTTTCGTTGACGATTCTCAATTCATAAATATTTGTTCGTATATCACACTTTAGAAAAAAAAATTGATTTGAACCATTTAGCTTCATTTCAAAGTAATTGCTATTCATAAATTATTATCATAGATAATGATTAGTCCAATGCGATCGGAGATTTATTAATTTATTAAAAAAATCAGACAAAATATCTTATACAATTGAACGCATATGTCAAAATAAATAGAAGTTTCAAGTGTCATATGTTACAAATCAAAAGTGTCATTTTCAAAAAAATATAAAACAGTCTTCCGTTGAATGTTTTTTTTTGTATATCGAAACACATGCCGAATTAAGAGGTTTTAAACAGTTTGAAAGCTGCCCAAGAAGTACTTTACGGTAAGTTAAGCTTAAAAGAATCATTTTATTTTCTTTTAGACGAATATCATCGTATCTATATCTTTCAGTCAAGACTTAACAGATACCTCATTTTAGTAGATCATGTCACCTTTATCACTTTCCTAACTATATTTTTTTGTAGCCTATTCTCTAATCTATTTTAGAAATAATTACACAACTATTTCGGGTGTGCTAACATTTAAAAAATTATTTTTTTTACCTTGAAAGCTTTAAAATGTGTCGTCCAGTCTCGACCATAAAAAAATGCGAATTAAATCATTTTAGTTGTTAAATAACAATATTATTAGAGCAATAAATCCTAAAAAAATATTTTGTAACTCTGAAAGAAGCAGAATCGGACCTACGTTGATACAAAAAAGTTTTATTTTAATGATAAATCTACCTTTGAAAGTTGGCCCACGTTTTTTTACTTTCCTATCTGTATACAGATAGAAACACAGTATGATTTATTTATTTAACTACATTACATTAAATTACAATGTAAATTTAAAATCCTAAAAGTCTATAAGAGTACATATCCATGACTGTGATCTAAACCAGAATTGTGAATGCAATAAATTGATTGAAAGGGTGACATATATAAAATACTTAGGGGTTCTTGAAAATCAAAATTTTACTTGGAAAGAACTTATGTGACAAGCAAAATAAGGAAATTAATATATAAATTTTATGAGTTGTCTTGAGTTTTAGCACATTAAAGATGGTGTATTATGCACTGGCTAAATCAATTTTGAATTATGGGTTGGTGTTTTGGAGTAAGCAAACTACAGGTTGCACAAAAATATATTATAAAAATTATGTTATTTAAAAATAAAAGGTTTCCTACTGAATTGCTTTTCAAAAAGATTCAGTTATTGGACATTAGACAGTTACACTTTAAAGCAGTAGTTAGATTCATGTTAAAATTTTCCTATTACAAGGAATCCATAAGCCTTGGGCATAACACAAGAAATGCAGCTCAAAACAATGTCATACCCCAAAACCCCAAGCACACCATTTGCCAAAATCATATTTATTGTCTTGGTCCAAAAGTCTTTAACTGTCTTCCTAATGATATTAAAGTAAAACCATATTCTAAGTGTAAAAAAGAGATAAGACAGTGGATACTCCAAAGCAATTATGTAGTTTAATTTTAAATAATATATCACACAATTACTATTCATATATATACTGTTATGATATTCACTGTCATTTCATAACCTCATAATTAAAAAATTTCATAAACTTAACTTGACTTACCTTGGCTAGCTTTTTTTATATATTTTAGCACTTTTGTAGAGCAGATTCTCTTTATCACAGTTTTGTTGGTTCATGAAATATAATATTTTATAAACTTAATTTATTAATTTTTAATTATTTATTTAATAAATTTACTTTTTCCTTGTTTTTATTTCTCCTTTGGTTTTTAATAATGTTTGTTCCCATTTCATTCCCTTTTATCATTTCTATTTCATATTTCTCTTGAAAATATTTTAACTTCTTTTCCATTTCTTTTAATTTTTTATCAATTTCCTCATTTTATCCTTTTTTTATCTTCATCATTCCTTTGAAATTTTGTTCTATTAACATCATCAGTTATAGTTTCTATTTCATTTTTAATTTTATCTATCTTGCTCTGCATACTTTGTTCTCCTTTTTGTTGTTGATTTATGATTCTTTCTTCTAATACTTTTATATTTTGATCTATGCTCCCGTCTATTCCTGTTATTGTATTCGTCCATTTAGTTTCCAATGTTGTCATTCTTTCTTCAGTATTTTGTTCATTTATTCTTATTTCTTTTATTTCTTCTCTCATATTATCAATCTTCTTGTCTTGTAAATTTTCTATCTCTGTTATTCTTCCTATTATTTCTGCTCTTATTTCAATCTTGAATATTATTTTCCATTTGTATTTTTGATTCTTCCATTTTCTTTTCAATTTTTCCTATCTTATTCTCCATTTTCTGACTTCTTTATTCTATCCTTTTTATCATATTATGTTCCATACTGTCCATTTTATTAACCATTTTATTGATGTCTTGTTTTATTACTTGTTTTATTTCTTCTTTGTCTTGTTTTCTATTTGCTTCCATTTTATTTATATCTTGTTTTATTTCTTTTAATTTATTTATCTGTCCCATTATTACTCTTAACATTTCCTGCATACTTCTTTCTTCTGTTACCTCTGTTTTCTTTTCAGTTGCAGCAGTTTCTTTTTCTTTTTTATTACATGTTCCCACTTCTCCTTCTACTTCTTGTTCATCTTTATCATTTCCCACTTGTGTTTCATCATTTTCATGAATAACACTGCACTTTTTATAACCCTTATCACTTTCACACTACTAAAGTTTTATTGCCTCACTTTGTTAATTTGACAGTTTAATGCCCCACGTTTGGCGCCATATGTTATGAAATGATAGTAAATATCATAATACTTATTTTACTATCTTTTATCGAATTATTGTTACCACATTTCTACTACTTTAGTACACAAATCTGTTATACTTAGCTCAAATAAGAATATATTTTTTGTTATTTTTTTTTTTAAGTCAAAATGGTAAAACCTCAGAGATAATGTATAAGAAAAAGAGTGCACACACAGTACTTTAAGTACAATCGTGCACTAGAGTAGAAGTTTTCATTTTAAATATTATTTAGAGGGTGACCTCAATTTAGGAATTAAGTAGTTAATAGGGTGATTGATTTTCTCTTGTTCCTATAGATAATTAATTATATTACTGTTTAATATAAATGTAAACTACTACATAAATAAATAACTGGTAAGTTTGGAAATAATATAAAACTATTCTTTCCAGGTCACAATGGACAATTCAGACTTTTTTCCTGAAGCTTGTTCTACTGTAAATAGAAAAAAGAATAAAAACAGGCCACCCAGTATTCAAAGTTATTTTGAGGAGAATGATTCCTTGTGTTCAATAAGGAATAGTAGTATTCCTAAAGCAAATTCTATGTCTGAATCTAGTTTTCAATTAGAGGAACAGAGACGTTTGGCTAGGACATCACTTCAAAGAGCAACCAAAGTTTCACGGTTGCCATCAAAATATTATCAAGCGAATTTAACTGAAACAGTTTCACAAACAGACATTTGTAATGACAGTACTGTCAATGAAAGTGATTTACTTCATACTCCAAAGAAGGCTTCTACACCTCGAACATCTTTGTCTCTTTTAAAAGAATCTCTAGCTCAAATGTCTTATAAAGCCACTGATAGCAATTTTAGTATAGATAACTTGGTTAGTGATTTTAAAAATGTATTTAAACAAACTGATGAACAAAGTAGTAATCTTTTTACACCTGCAGATGAGGCATGTAGTATGTTATTAGCTGATGAATTATCATGGAGACAAAAGAATGAAATGCCTGTTCAAGAAGAACAATTTTCAACTTTAAATAATACAGGAAAAGAGTCAATAGGATCATTTTTTCAAAAAGGATCTAATACATTATCAGATTTTCCCTGCGAGAGTCCAAATATAACTAGGGAACCTATTGCACTCATAGAACCATCATTTAGTCTTATAGGAAGAGACTTATCTCAACAAGATAATGAGAAAAAAAGTTTAAGTATATCCGCAATACAAAAATTCCTATCATCAGAAGATACACCCAAAAGAACTGTATATAATCTTTGTAAATTCACTTCTGAACCAGACAAAAATGTTAATTCAGAAAACATAAGTTTCTCACTACCAGTTAGTAAAGATTCATCATACAACAGTGATCATTCCGAAAATGAATCAATGAAATTAATTTGTAATAAAGAAAATGTTAATTCATTGAACACTAATACATCACCTTCTTCCAGAACATCATCTAGGGCTTCAAGTGCATTAACTTCTCTTCCAAACGGCAAATTACCCATAGAAACCTCAAAATGTGACCTAATTTGGGGCTGTGTTAAACTGGGGAAATCTGTCACCCAAGAGTTTATGATTAGAAACAAATCTGCAAAAAGACTTGGCTTGCAGTTAACACTCTGTAGTCAAGAATTTAAGTTAAGGAAAGATAATAGAAATGACAGTCAGCCTTTGGGTTCAAATAAAATAATACTGCATCCACATGAATCTAAATCTGTAATAGTATCTTTTATTCCAACACAAATAGGTGCAGCAATAGATGAATTGTATTTTACTTCACTCGATTCTAATATCAATCAAATTAAAAAACAATGTGTTAGATTATTTGGATATGGTGGATCTTTAAAAGTCGATTTTCGTAATTTAACTAGAGATACCACAGGAAAATTCTGGCTTTCTCTTGGAAAATTGGATGATAGAAGTATTATAACATCGCAATTTTATGTTAAAAATAAAGGGGATGTACCGGTTTTCATCCACATTTCTATTAATTCTTTGGAAACTTCAAAACTTGATGTTAATCCACATTTTTTCACTTTGCTACCTCAAGAAGAGAAAGAAATTGTAGTGAGCTACAAACCTTCTAATAATGATTATAATTTCCTACATAAATCCCTTCATAGTACAATGGTTGTAGATTTAGGAGGTTTAAACATTATTTTTGGTGCTGAAGTTGAAAGGGGAAGAATCAGGAAAATATGTGAGAAATGTAATGAAACCGGTTTAAAAATATCTCAAATAGCAAACACCTTAAAAGAAAAGATAGAAAGAGAATGTATGCCTGTAGATTTAGTTAAATTTAAAGAACCACCAGGTCATCTACAAGAAATTATCAATTTATTAACTCATTATCAAATTGTTTTAACTCTTGAAAGAGATCCTGAACAAACAATTATTCAACAATATCCAGATGAATCTGCTTTATATCAATCTTTGTATCAAGACACTACAGTTGTTTGTAATCAGTCTGGAAACCAACACTCATGTTATGTGGCACCGACAATTTTAGTATTAACAATTCCTTACAAACATAAAGATACTATATTTTTACAATCGAATAATCAAAATAAACTAAATTTTATTGCCAGCTGTCAAGAAAATGATTTAGAATTAAAACCAAGAGAAGGAATTCTGGATTCTTATGGTACAGTTACTATTAGTGTAAAATACATTTCTACATCTGTAACTGCAAAAAAAGATTTTAAAATTGTAATAATTGTTGAAAATGAAATATTTGAAGTTGAAGTGAAAGTAGAATTTCTTGGATCAGCTAAGAATAAAACTAAGTCCGTCCTTAATTGTATGATTTAAAATAGATGTATTGTTTTTTTAATTCGTGACGTTTAAGCCAAAATATACTTGATTTTAATGTTTAAGAAATGTTAATTTTAAAATTTCAAATTTTACACACTGACCTATTTATTGTTTGTTTTTTATTTATTTATATGTATAGTTTGTTTAGTTGAATATAAAGTATGTACTGAAATTTACAACAAGGTACAATTAAATTATTGGAAAAATACACATTTTCTTATGTGCTTTCTAGATACCTGTAAATAAAATTTTTACTACCCATATTTGTTATTTTTTTTCTGTAAACTGGTTGACAAAATGTTTCAAATAAGGCTTCGCCAAGCTTTTTATTTGATACTTTAACATCATTTAAATAAAAAAAAACGCTTCTCCTCTTATAAAAGTAATTTTAAAAATCTGATATGTCCAACACATGAGTTTCCTGTCTAGTTGGTACATGCTTTTTCCGGTTATTTTGTACAACCCATTAATCTGCCTTTGATTTTGCCCACTAAGGAGAAAGGCATCCTTATTAGGACTCTTCACTCTTCAGCAATAAATGGAAATTCTCGACTCCAGTCTCTAATGGAGTCTAATTGGGAAAAAAATTTCGATCGAACTCAATTACGGCGGGTTGAGCATGAGCACAAGCGAAAGTGGTATCGCCATCTCTACTTAAGTAAGCAAAATCAAAAATTACATCTAGTGGATACCCAGACAGCACACCAAATCCTTTGGATACCTACTGAACATCCCAATATCCACTGAATGTCCAGTCCATGGTGGATACATAGAAATAATATAGAAGACCAATATAAACATAACATTTAAGCAGAAATTGAAACCTACTGTGCATAAAAACGCGTCTCTGCGCCTGACATCGCAAAATAGTGTGTCTAGAAGCTTGCGCAATATGCATGACTTGTCCCTGTAGTGTTGCCAAATATATTAAACATACCTAACAGAAAAGAATTTTAAATTAATTAATTTTTAAATTATATGATTTAAACAGTTTATATCTACGAAATATCGCCACAAAATAACTTATACACTTTTAAATAATCAACTAATAATATTTATGTGTAATTACATTCCCAAAAATATATACAAATACCGTATTAATGTCATTAATACCGTATTTTTAATGTTCAATAAGCGATTCACCTACAAATTCAATATTGACCTGGCAATAGCACTAAAATCCGGTGTTTCAAGGCTATATGACGCTGCCCTTACAGGACCGTTTGTAGTTTATTATTTATGCCGCGTTTGAGAATCCACATCGGATGCATCTGAGATGTAGTAAGTAGTAAATCTTTGATCACGTGATTCAGTATACGTAAATGTAATGGGACAGATGTGTCCGATGTGGATAAAAAACGCTCGAGATGTAAAAAATGCATCCGATGTGGATTCTCAAACGCGGCATTAATTACACGATGAAAGAGGCATTTTATTTTTAGTTTTGTGTAGTGTTTAGTAAAATCCTAGGTACAATAAAAGACATTTTTACATTGGCTAATGAAAATGTAATCAATGTATTAGGCAGCTGTTATATTTATTACAAGATTTATGTCTGCAAATCTAAACCTACCTAAGAATTATAATTATGTAAATAGAGAGCTGTATATTTATATACAGGCTGCCCAGCGACGGGGAGACATTATCGATATCGGTTTTAAGGCATTTTAAAACATAAACCCGATCTCAACAATCTTAGGAACTCTTCTGTCACTCGATATTTTAATCGGTATTTCCTCTTCGCTTTTTGGCTGGCACAACAATTATTTACATTTCTTCATTCCTTACCGCGTTCGAACCAGTAAGGTTTAAAGAAATTTAAAAAAAAAATCTACTTTAAAAATAAAGATGTTAATGATTTTCTTATGGATCCCATCTTCAGATCTTGACTTAATGTATATAAAACTGTTTCCTTTTCTAACAAAAATAATCCTAGAAATCGGGCAACGTGGTAAAGAATTATCGCTCAACATACATAAAAAAATATTTCAACGAATTGAGAATATCCTACCATTTTGAAGTATGTTAAAAAAAAATTGTTAATAAAGTAAAAAGTAGGGTATGAACATATATTATAAAGTATATAAAATGATAGATAAATCCAGTTTAGAAGGTATTATAAATAAACTGTGGAAATATCGAGAATCTCGATTTTGAATCGGAAAAATATTCTACGCAATTTAGTATGAAAGCTGATCAAAATGAAACACATGAACGACAAACTGTTATTGACAACTTTCTTCAAACGTTTTCTATTTTTCCGAAAACTAACTAGATAGTTCGAAAATCATTTCCTTCGTTAAAACGCCTCTTGTTCCGAAAAAGGTACACGCCTGCCAACATTCATCGTTCATTAAAAAAGTGGTAGATACAAAACGCTTCGTATTGTAAGGCCAAAATATATTTAGAAATCAAAATAGTCATATAAACAAAAAAATCATATGAGTGAGATAACTACCAAATTAATGATTTACAAGTTTATTCCTATTATTTATAAAATGTGCAATGTGCTGGTGTGGAATGTTATCATCGACTAAAAACTTTAAATTTTTGTATTAAATTGATCTAAAACAAACTATAAATTGATTTAGGCTATATAGAATGTTTCTAGTAAGCAGCAACTAATTTTTATTATGGAACCGAAAGACCCTTTTAAAAAGGTTCAAAATTAAAATAAAATATGTACCAAGTAAATGTAGTAGTATTTTTTAATTTATATTGAAAATGGTAACATGAAAGGTTTTCTGTCTAACGACTCATAGTCTCGGCTGACAAAATGTAAAAAAATATCGAACATAACATTCCTGGGCCCTATTTTGCACTCCCCAGATTAAATTTAGTTGTAGCAAATGATATTATCAAATAAGATGTCAAATCACAAGCAAAATCTCATGACTACAGTACTAATGATTGCCTGTTTGGAAAAGTATCTTTGTTTGTAAATATTTATATGCATAGTTATGTTTAAATGCGCGAGTGTAATGTTAAGTATAAACAAAATCCGCCCATTATGTATATACGTTTAGTTACCGACCCTAGTAGATAAGCAATTTGTTATTGTTTTAAGTTTTACCGTAGGGAGAGAGAAAATCAATATTAGGATAAATGGTCCAGCTCCTTTCTGGTTACGTAGGTACCTAAAAAGTATTTTAGTTTTTGGTTAAGTAATTAATTATTTAACAGAGATTTTCTTGTGATAGTACCTAATTTAGATTGTGGATTAAAGTTTTTGTATATAATTTCGCTGTTTAATAATAAACGTAGTCAAAACCGGAGCACGTGGTTTTTTTGGAAAGTATTTTTAATATCACAAGCAAAATCTCATGACTACTGTAATAATGATTGCCGAAAATTAACTAATTCATATTTTATGCCATATCTTTCTTAATAAGGACTGTCAGAACCATATTTACCTTAACTTGAAATTTTTTTAATCGTTTTTTGTATAGAATCATCTCTAAAAATGTATGATTGAAATATCGTGCGAACTATTTGTTCGATCAATAAAAAACTTGCACCGGTCCTGTTCGCGCCAGCACCGTTATACGCATGAGCCCCGACACACTATTTTCTCCTTATGGTTTCATTTTTGATATAAGGAATCGGCTTTCTATACTATTTCTATGGGTGGATATCTATTTTATATCCATGAAATGTAATTTATAGACATGCAAATGTTCATAAATAATAGTAATTATATAGCAAATTATTAAAAAATTACGCCATTGTGGCTAATAGTACCGTTCAGATATTTAAAATTAATTTTTTAAGGTGTATTCAATATCCCATGGACATCACTATAAATATATCAAAGTCTAAGCGCGGACGCAAACCATAGTGGATATCTACTAGATGTAATTTTTGATTTTGCTTCCTAAGTATAGATGGCGATACCACTTTCGTATCTACTCATGCTCAACCCGCCGTAAATGAGTTCGATCGAATTTTTTTTTTCGGAATTAGACTTTATTAGAGACTGGAGTCGAGAATTTCCATTTATTGCTGAAGAGTCCTCCTAATAAGGATGAGTATGACTTTTCTCCTTAGTGCCCTTATAGTGGGCAAAATCAAAGGCAGCTTGTTGGAAATATTTTTTATCTCTATTTTCTTTCGACGTTATTCAATAATCATTGGTTACTTATGAACCTCTACTAAAGATATCTATAAAATATTTTGCTGAATATCTGAATTCTATATCCACAAAATATATTCTGTGGATAACTCTGGGATTTCTTGTATTGTCTGGAAGATACTCATGAGATATTTTGCTGAATATCCATAGGGATATCTTCTATATTCTGGATATAGACGGACATTTGGATATCCATATTAGATCCACGGAATATTTCTGATATCCTGTGGATATGTTGGATATCCACAAAAGATATTCTGTGGATATCTCTGGGATTTGGTGTGTTATCTGGGAGAGTGTTGAAAATATTTTTATCTCTGCTATTTTCTTTCGACGTTATTCAATAATCATTGGTTACTTTTACTTATGATATGAACCTCTAATAAAGATACCCATAAAATATTTTGCTGAATATCCGAATATCTTCTATATGCTGGGATATAGACGGACATTTGGATATCCTGATATCCATATTAGATCCACTGGATATATTGGATATCTCTGGGATTTCTTGTATTGTCTGGAGATACCCATTAGATATTTTGCTGGATATATCCATAGGATTTCTTCTATATTCTGGATATAGACGGACATTTGGATATCCATATTAGATCCACGGGATAATTATGATATCCTGTGGATGGAAGATGGAAGATATTCTGTGGGATTTGGTGTGTTGTCTGGACGGTTGAAGACTTTTTTTAGAGAAATTCAAGTAAAGGAGAAGTTTTTTTTGTTTGTTGACGTTTTCGACATATTATCTTCGAAGAAAATATACATAGAAAGGTTTATTTAACAGGTTTATTGTCGGTTCGTTTACAACCTTTCAAAACCTCCATGCGTAGCCCGCCATGTACTGAGTTACAACTGTCAAGGCAACCCCCTATACCTCTCGAAGTAAGACGGGTTGCCTACCCAGTAGTCCTAATGGCATACTTTTTTTAGAGAAATTCAAGTAGAAGAGGAGATATTTTTGCTTGAAGACCTTTTTTCTTAATAATTGTCGCGGAAACCGATCTGGGTAGCTTTTCACTAAGTCATGGGAACGCTCCCATGGGAGTGTTCCCATATATTTTGCTCTTACTCTTAGGTGGGTATATCGTGCTTACTCCGACCTAACTATGCATGTACCTGAGCTAAAAGTGAGTAAGCACGATATACCCACCTAAGAGTAAGAGAGCAAAATATATGGGAACACTCCCATGGGAGCGCTCCCATGACTTAGTGAATAGCTATCCTGGGGTCTGACCTGGCTCTCGGCAGCCCTGACGATTTACCTTTATCTAATTTGTAATAAACAACGTCTAGGTAGATATTTATATAAATTTTCTAGTTTTTGTCGAGTTCGCAAGTATTTTTAATTAAAGTAGTAAATAATTATCGGCGATTATTCCTAAAAATTGGATAGTTTGATGATTTTTCATTATCAGATCTTGAATCCTATACAATTGTATTGTCTTATGGAAAATAAATCATATTTATTTGACAAATTTAATCGGGACCACTTTCTAGGTATCTCCTTTCTAACCAAAGAAAACAGAATAATAAAAATCGACCGTGGTAAAGAATATCGCTAAACATACATTTAAAAAACCGACGAATTAAAAACCTCCTTCCTTTTTGAAGATGGTTAAAAAAATCCAATGAAAACCTCCTCCTTTTTTTGAAGTCTGTTAATAAAACACATTTTCCCTTCAACTTTCATATATTTTATTTAAATATGCAACAGGAGATAAAATTTTTGGGTAAACTTACATACACGATTTCTTTTTTTTTTTTTTGTTTTGAAAAATACATATAACATTTATAGGACAAATATAAATCTCTTATTATTTATTTTTAAAGAAATATTTGTCATGTAATTCAAATTCTAAAACAGATCTTTAAATAATACAAATTATTGTACAAATTTGCCTAAATACACAAATCAAATGATAATTTTTCATGATTGTATTATGCAAAGGGTAATAATTTTTAGAAATATAGAATAATTCTATATTTATACAATAGTTTTAATCACTTCTCAAACTCATTTCAATAGTATACTGGATCCCTATTTGAGCAATTTTGTGCTCATTAAAATGGTACCAAGAAACCTTTAATACCTACAGGGTGATTCGAAATATCGTACAAACAATGAATGAATTTAAAGAAATGATAATTTTAATTTATTGTCCGATATTTTGAATGTCTCTGTAGATATAAAATATTTCTAGGCACCATTTTAATAAGTACAGAACTGCGCAAATTTTGTCTAATTTAACCAACTTTCTAATCGTTATTGATTAAGAAATAGCAAAATATTGTCCATATGAAATAGTAGGGATCCTGTATCTAAAAATACCATTATCATTATCTGATAGATTAATTTTTAATAACATTCCCTGAATTTATTTGTAGAATTAAAAGTAATATTTTGTTTTCTTAATCTACATGTATTTTTTTATAATTATCCTATTAGTTTTTTATTATTTTGAGTAGTTTATCGAGAATTGAAACAATTTTTTCAGAATGTCGGTTTTATAATGTAACTGACCAAAAAACCAGCTAAAAATATAAGGAGAGCCGCAAGACAGGACCTTGACCTTGTAAGTCGCAAAATGAACTAATATTTATCCATGTTTTGTTCAAAAATTATAATAATTCCCCTATACAGTAGATGGAGCGAAATATTTTAAACGAGATTATCATTATCAAAAAATATAATAATATAATATAAAACAAGCTCCTGTGTTGTAGCCCTTGATAACAGAATATGAGATAAATAGTAAAATAGTTCACTGTATCGTTGAACTATTCATATTTGGATACATTGTACCCTAAATTAGTTAAAACCTTCTTGTACTAAACACGAGAGGATTGTTTTAGGCCATACATGGCATGTTCCAAATTTAAAACTTTAAATGATCCATCTGAATTTACAAAACCTTCAGGTTGGCTCATGAAAATGGTCTCCTCTAAATGACCTTGTAAAAAGGCTGTGGTTACGTCAAGATGGAAGATGTCTAAATCTAATTTTACACTTAAAGCTCTTAACAACCTTAGAGTAGAGTGCCTAACAACAGGCGAAAAGGTTTCATTATAATCTATCGCTTCTATTTGGGTAAAACTCTTAGCTATTAACCTAACCCAGTAGGTTTTATTGTTAGCACTGTCAACCCTCACTTTAAACACCAATTTATACTGCACTAAAGCACTACCTTCTGGCAAGTCTGTCAGTTCCCAAGTTTCATTGTCCTGGAGACTCTTCAACTCGTCTACCATGACTTGCCTCTACAGGCTGCCATGATAAAGCCTCTGCAAAAGAGAAACGTTTAAAATTTGACAAAAAATCTAATAAACATATTTTGGTAGGATATTCTGAAGAAATAAAAGGCTATCGAGTTTATAATCCTAAAACAGATGATGTCACAACTAGCAAATATGTATATATCTATGAGGATCTAAATACTAAGACTTTTGACATCGTAGTTGCTGAAAGCAAGGAAGAATTACCAATTTCAGTGGGGGAAGATAACTCAGATGTTAGCTTAATCCGAGAAGATAACTCAGATTTAACCACAAGTTCTATTGATGATACCCACATACTTTGATTACTATGCGAGGCAAGAGAGAGGTCCGACACGCCCAACATAGGGCGCAGCCATTTTGAACCCTGTGACACAGTTTACAGCTAAAGAATCAGATCGCTCACTCTGCGTCGGCACTTTTGATCTCAATGTTTCAGTTTATACACTGTGCAACTCGGATAATACAATATATGACAACCGCCTATAATAAAACAGCAGTCTTCTGCGTATCCTGAATTTGTATCCCTGGAGTGGATGTTATTTTGGAACTTTCAACTGGTCCGAGTGAGCTAACTGATTCTTTAGCAATAAATTGTGACTTCAAAAATAATATTCACTGACAGCAGCAAGCAAAATATCAGGTGCGTTTTAATCATCCGCTTCTGCTTCCGGAATTGTCGGTTTAGTCGTTTTAACCTGTCAGATTAAAACAAGAAAACCGACAATTCCGAAGCAGAAGCGGATGATTAAAACGCACCTATTAAAAATATTGCGCCAAGATATAGGCAACACGTAATAAGGGTTCAAAATGGAGGAGTTTTCTATCTCCTTTTAAAAGGCACTCAGTAAGCTGCGCAGTGCGACCATTCTCCGTATAGTAAAAGAAAATCAAAGTATGTGATGATACCTTAATAGCAGATAATCCAAGTGACAGTGACTACGTGCCAGTTAACACATCAGAAAAGTCTTTTAGTGATAGTGTAGTGCCTAGAAAATCGGAAAGACAGAAAAAGGTAAAAAAATTTGATGAATATGTGACTTATTTAAGTCCAGAGAACTACCCAGATGAAGCTCTCCAGTAGGTGTTGCAGAGGCTTCATCATGGCAGTCATGGTAGACGAGTTGAAGAGTCTCCAGGACAATGAAACTTGGAAACTGGCAGACTTGCCAGAAGGTAGTGCTTTAGTGCAGTATAAATGGGTATTTAAAGTGAAGGTTGACAGTGCTAATAATAAAACCTACCGAGTTAGGTTAGTAGCTAAGGGTTTTGCCCAAATAGAAGGGATAGATTACAATGAAACCTTTTCGCCTGTTGTTAGGCACTCTACCCTAAGGTTGTTAATAGCTTTAAGTGTAAAATTAGATTTAGACGTAACCACAGCCTTTTTACATGGTCATTTAGAGAAGACCATTTTCATGAGCCAACTGAAGGTTTTGTAAATTCAGATGGATCAAATAAAGTTTTAAAATTGAAACGTGCCATTTATGGCCTAAAACAATCCTCTCATGTTTGGTACAAGAAGGTCGAAGATATTTAGGGTACAATATATCCAAATTTGAGCCATGTGTCTTCATTAAGTTTAATGAGGGTCTAATGACAATCATTGCCTTATATGTTGATGATTTCTTCATTTTTTCAAATGATATTGTTGAATCAAATGTTTTAAAAAAATAATTAGCGGTAAATTTCAAGTTAAAAGATCTTCGCCAGGCTAAGCAAATTTTAGGAATGAACATCCGTATAGACAAGGCAAGGAATGTCATAACATTGGACCAAAGACATTACATAGAATATTTATTATCTAAATTTGAGATGTTTGACTGCAAAACGGTCAATACGCCAAAGGAGAGAAACTTAAACTTACCAAAAAGTGAAAGTTCCAATCCCTTACCGTATAAATATTTAATAGGTGGCCTAATGTACTTGGCAGTCATGACAAGGCCAGATATATCTTATAGTGTTAGTTTTCTTAGCCAGTTTAATAATACTCACAGGCAGAGTGTTAAAAGAATTTTGAAATATCTACAGATAACCAAAAATTTATGTTTAAAGTTTCAGAAAGACTCAAAAAGTCTAGAAGGTTTTGTGGATGCTGATTGGGCCAGCAATTCTCTGGATAGGAAGTCATATACAGGTTTTTGTTACATTTTTTCAAATTCAGCCGTGTCTTGGGAGAGCAGTAAACAAAAAACAGTCGCCCTCTAAAGCACTGAGGCCGAATATATGGCCTTAGCAGAAGCAGCTAAGGAGGCCATATATTTTCGAAACCTATTAAGAGAATTGACAGGTTCCTTTGATTGTGTTTCAATTTATAGTGATAGTCAAAGTGCCCTAAAGCTTACGTCAAACCCCATGTTTCATTAGAGAAACTGCAACAAGTGGTTTGATCAATAAAGAATACCTGCAGACAAATGTTATACCTGCAGATATCCTGACAAAAGCCTTGAAAGCAAACAAACATTACAAGTTTTTGAAACACCTGGGTTTAGAAAGCTTGTGAATTATTATTTCAAACTAGTGGGGGTGTTGTAAAGTTTGAAATACCCTCCTTTTTATAATGCACCTAGCGCCCTCTCTTGTTTACTTTAAACATGTCATGTTTCATAGGACAAAAAAGATCCTCCATGAGTTAGTCATAATATAGACGTTGCCGAAGAACAAGTGTTTGGTATTATTTTAAAATCTACCAAGTTTCTCATTTTTAACATATCTCATTTAAACCATGCCTATGGCTTTACATGTATTGGTAAGTTACAGAGATACCAGATAGATTGATAAAATGTCACTATATGATTGAATTATTTGTCTCAAGTTACAATATTAACGTTTTTTTTTTATTACATCTTTTAATTCCAATTAAACACCAACCTATTTTCTTATATAATGAATTCAACGATCACAACCGATTTGAAATATTTTAAGTTTAATTAACAGGAGAATCGTTTATTATAACTAATAATTTAGATACAATTTATACAAAAATATAGCAACAATTTCAATTAAATTAGTTTTATAAATAATAGTTTCTAAAAACTGGGTTATTAATTAGATTTACAAAAAAAACTTAATTTCAGCTTAATAATATTGACTTAGATTTTATTTTACATAAAAACATGATGTAAATCTTTCATAAACTTGAAAAATATATTTCTAATATTCTTGTTCTCTGTAAATTCATTATCAGGTGAAATATCTATCACTTTCGTTGAAAAGTACCTTATCAGAAACTAAAAATACGAATAACTTCTTATTTTTTTAACCGTTTCTTCCGATCTAAACCGCTACTTCTTCTATAATTATATTTTTAGAATTTAATAATAGAATAATTCTGGGAAATTCTGTTCGTAGTGAGGGATGATGTCTTCTTTCTTCTCATCTGTAGGACTCCGATTTTCGTTCGCAGTTAATGACTTAAAGATTTCGTTTAGTTTGCTCTGTAAAACATCATGCTGAAATAAAAATATAGAATTCGCGTTTAAAAACGGTTTTTTTATTCCGGGAAAAATATATAGTTAAAATTACCCCCCCTAAAATTCTAGTATGGAATGATAAGGTGCTTACAGAAGTTTTCCAATGTCTATAAATGAAAAAAAAAAAACTATTGTGACACGAAATCAAGCTGATTGTGCATTGTGGCACAATGAAAGACGAAAACGAGTCGCTGCTTCAAAATTTGGAGAAATTTGTGAAAAGAGGAAACTTCTTTCTCATAAAATCAGTTATTTTTGCTACAGCCACCCAATATGGTATTGACAAGAGCAAAATAAGATGATCTGTAATGTACTGAGTTATGAAAAAATGTTATAGCTCAAACAATTATAACTTTGGAAGATTGTAGTGACTCTGAAGATATTTCAACTGAAATTAAGCAGCCAAGTCTTTGCTTTAATCCAGAAAATTAATTACCAGAGGACTTTAATAATTGAAAAAGATGAGCAAGAAAACAATTTTATTCAAGAGTTGGACGATGAAGATCAAATGAATTTGGCGAAAAGAGCAAATTATTTTTTTTTCATCCGTTTTGATATCAAAAATAGGAACTTTAAATACATCCATGTATTTGTCGGAATCTTAACTATTTGATTTAAATATTTATAGCAATATTATATACAAAAATAAGAATTCTGGTTAAAAATGTATACCGAAAGACCACAAGGCAGCTTCAGAAGGGGCAAAATTTAAGTTGAAATTTTGAATTTTTGGAGTATGCAACAAATTTTCATAGAGGACCGCAATTCCACATACTTTCCATTCATGGGTGTTTTTGTAATGAATAAAAATATTCTAAATTTTAAATTAAAATAGTAACCTTTGTAATTTGTAACTTTTTTATTATGAATGTTCCCAAAAAAGTGTTTGTACAATTCTTAAGATTCGTCTCAAGCTTCTTCTTAAGATTCTTCTCAAGCCTCTTCTTAAGGTTCTTTTTAAGCTTTGTAAGGTTCTTCTCAAGCTTCTTTCTAAGATTCTTCTTGAAATTCTTTTCATACTTCTTAAGATTCTTCTCAAGTTTCTTTTTAAGGTTCTTCTTAAGATTCCTCTCAAGCTTCTCCTCAAGCCTTTTCTTAAGATATACCACTACTTAAAGATTAAAAAATTGTATGTTTATTACTAGTATGTTAATCAATGACAGAAAAATGGTTGTCTTTTGGAACCTGTAACCTCTAATGTTGTTTGTATAATTCTTAAGATTCTTTTTAAGATTCTTCTCAAGTTTCTTCTTAATATTCTTAAGATTCTTCGTCTCTTTAAGATTCTTAAGATTTTTATGATTCTTCTTAGATTTTTTTTATGATTCTTTTTAAGATTCTTCTCAAGCTTCTTAAAGTTCTTCTCAAGCTTCCTTTTAAGCTTCTTAAAGTTATTCTCAAATTTTTCTTAAATTAAAATAGTAACCTCTGTAATTTGTAACTTTTTTATTATGAATCTTCCCAAAAAAGTGTTTGTACAATTCTTAAGATTCTTCTCAAGCTTCTTAAGATTCTTCTCAAGCATCTTCTTAAGGTTCTTCTTAAGCTTTGTAAGGTTCTTTTTAAGCTTCTTCTCAAGCTTCTCTAAGATTATTTTTGAAATTATTTTCATACTTCTCAAGCCTCTTCTTAAGATATACCACTACTTAAAAATTAAATTGTATGTTTATTACTAGTTAGTTAGTCAATGACAGAAAAATAGCTGTCTTTTGGAACCTGTAACCTCTTAAAGTTGTTTGTACAATTCTTAAAATTCTTCTTAAGATTCTTCTCATGCTTCTTAGAATTTTTCTTAAGGTTCCTTTCCTTCTTCTTAGCTTCTTCTCAAGTTTCTTCTTTAGATTCCTCTCAAGCTTCTTCTCAAACCTCTTAAGATATACCACTACTTAAAGATTAAATTGTATGTTTATAACTAGTATGTTAGTCAATGACAGAAAAATGGCTGTCTTTTATAACCTGAAACCTCTTAATATTGTTTGTACAATTCTTAAGATTCTTCTCATGCTTCTTAGGATTTTTCTTAAGGTTCTTCTCAAGCTTCTTCTTAGCTTCTTCTCAAGTTTCTTCTTAAGATTCCTCTCAAGCTTCTTTTCAAGCATCTTCTTAAGATATACCACTACTTAAAGATTAAATTGTATGTTTATTACTAGTATGTTAGTCAATGATAAAAAGATGGCTGTCTTTTGGAACCTGTAACCTTTAATGTTGTTTGTACAATTCTTAAGATTCTTTTTAAGATTTTCTCAAGATTATTCTTAAATTTCTTCTCAAGTTTCTTCTTAATATTTTTAGACTCTTCAAGATTCTTCTTAAGATTTTTTTATGATTCTTCTCAAGCTTCTTAAGGTTCTTCTCAAACTTCCTTTTAAGATTCTTCTCAAGCCTCTTCATAGGATTTTCCCAAAAAAAGTGTGTACTTTCATAATCCTTGGCATTGAAAATGTTGACGTAAGGGTAGCTTGGGGCCAAGTGGGAAGGGGTAGTCACATGAAAAGTATGTGGAATTACGTCCCTTTACGTTTTATACCTCATAAATTCAAGATTTCAACTTAAATTTTACCAGATATTGAAAGTTTTCGCGCACACCTGGTATATTTTTCCATACAATTAAATGGTGCAATCAGATTTTAATTTACTTTAAAATGAAACAATAATAAATCAATAATTAATTTCATTTTTTGTTTATTATCCATTTTTGAGCACGTTTTTTAATCCTAACTATATTTTTATTTTATCAAAAACAACGTCAAGACGAAAAAATTGAGTATCCGAAGAAGTTTGTAAGATAATTTTTCACAGTAGAATTTCTTTAAATAAAAAAAATGTTTTGAATTGAAAAAAATGAATATCTCGAAATATTTAGGATTTAAAAAAAAAAAATGTGCTTATTTTTAGATAAATAAAAAATAAGAAACTAAAAAAATATTCGAACTTTTGCATTTTTATCGAAATTTTTGAGGTTATGCTAAAAGTGACCTATCTACAAAAGCTGTAGATTTTTTTCGAAAAAGTAATTCATCAAAGTTGTATATTATTTGTTACCTTAGGTTGAGTCCGTCGCACTAATTCCGAAAACGTGGCCGTCCTAAATGTATGACTTAACATTTTTCTTCTTTCCGCTTCTGCCTCTTTTCGAATTTCAGGTGGTTCTGTCAAAACTTTCTTCATACTTTCAAAGTTCAAATCTTCTTCAGTATGTTTCTATGTATTAGAAAATTATCAATTAAAAATAATAATAAAAAAAAAGTATGTAGAAAATTAAAAAAGTATGTAGAAAATTTAAAAAAAAGTATGTGGAAAATTGTACCTTCTGAACACCTGGAGAACTCGCTGCGCTATCCACTTCGGCTATGGGTAATTCAATTATACTTCCTCGAGCTCCATTTTCTATCCAACTATTTCGTTGTGAACCAGCAATTAGACCAGGCCCACCAGCTCCATACGGTGAGGTTTGTTGAAGTCTGGATGGGTCTATACCACTTTCCTTGACATATTCGCAAACGGCCATCTATAGAATACATTTTTTTCGTTAAACTAATAATTAAATACACAAGTACAACAATTAGAAGGTCAACACGTTGTTGGTTCGATTGTAACGGTATACGAACTTAAATACGGTGGCGTCCATTTCCTAATTTTAGGGCAATTTAGTTATTATACCCTAGTGCCTCATCCACGACCCTTATTACTGAGCTTTAATCACTTAAATTGTAAAAATATCATCAGCGGTTACTTTATCCGATAGTTTTGTAATTTTTTTTAATGAAAAAGTGAATATTCAGTGGAGATTTATTGCACGAGGGTTGAGTAAGCTATTTTCTATCACATATCACTGCAACATTTTGTGTTATATTTTCGGGCAAGTAGATATTTGATAAATAAAATTTGCGCTCTGTTGTACTGAATGAATAATGTTTTAGAAGCAATAAATATTATTATTATCAATAATAATAATTCCATATGAAGCCAACTTACGTAGACATGGGTGCAGATAAACCATTTCTGAGCTCATATTATTTGAGATATGACCAAAATATGGCGGAAAGCGGTTCAATAGAGTTTAAAAGTTATAAAAAAAATATTTAGAAGCTCCTAATGTCGCTAGAGAGACTTGGAGTATTTTAGAAAAAATATGTAAATTTTGGACCACGAAAATTTTTATTACTTGATCTAAAAATTTGAAATAATTCAACATAGGGTACTTTGGCCTGGAAAAGACGAAAATGGCCATAAAAAATGGATAGGGCTAATGTGGAACGAGATATGGGGCCTAAAGTAGGTTTTCGAGCGATTTTGGGGCCCTACGAGAAAATTGAGAAGCCCTAGAAAAATTTAGAGGTCATTTTCGGCTTTTCCAGACCCAAATTACCCTATGAGAATTTTTTCGAAAATTTTTGAGTTAAAATAAAGAAATTAGCATGCGCACGTGCTAAAAAAAAGGCGCGAAAAATTGAAAGACTAACTTCTAAAGGAAAAATCGCACAAACTTTGAGAAGCCATTTTCTTTCTTTTCATGACATTCTAAGGTATTCCACGACCTAAAATATCATAATTATTCGATCGTTTGGAAAATAATTTTTTTTTTTTGGAAAGAAAATCTCGCCTTGAAAAATTGAAAGTCTAACTTCTAAAGGAAAATTCACACAAACTTTTAGAGAACATTTTCTTTCTTTTTATGACATTCTAAGGTATTCCACGACCTGAAATGTCATAATTAGTCGACCGTTTGAAAGATATTTTTTTATTTTTTTTAGGAAAGTAGATCTCGCCTCGAAAAATTGAAAGTCTAAAGGAAAAATCGCACTAACTTTTAGATGCCATTTTCTTTCTTTTCATGACATTCTAAGATATTCCACGACCTGAAAATAATTTTTTTTTCTGAAAGAAGATCTCGCCTCGCCTCAAAATAGTAATATAACTAATAACTATTAAATGTTACGATGCATACCTGGTCCACAAGTAGATGAGGAAGCTTATTCGCCACCTCGCTATTATCCGAATAGTGCGAATAAAGATCGGGAAGTAAATGCAATGCTTCCTGTTTTCTCTGCTCGGCGATTTGTGCTGCATAATTAGCTAGAGGTTGTATATTAACGACTGTTGGTATAAGCATTAATAAACTAATCACAATGGCGTGTAGATTGAATTTCTGAGCATTCGAAAGTGACGTGCTGTTAAGAGCAAGGCTTTGTATGCTGAAAAAAAAAATATTGGTCTTCTAGTGATAAAGTAGTACAAAAATGATTTAAGTACACTGCTTTTAAATTTGCAAATTTTTCCATAAATAGTAGACGTGAGTGATAATTTGGTTTATTGACTGCATAATTGTAGTTTCAAGAACTATCTACATTGAAAAATAATATCTAATCATATTTAAAGTGCAAAATAGTGTAAAATCTCATTTCGCCGACTTAATTTCTCAACATCCAAGGTTTCTTGAGTCAATAGACCTATCACTATTCCGGCAATCTTTAATTAACTTCACTGTATCAACTAAAGTAAACTGCATCCTTTTGAAATAAACTGTTAATCGGAAACCGACAATCAAAATAAGTAAATTTTAACCAAGTACAATTTGTCCTAACATTCTTTTTAAATAATTTTATTCCGTTTAAATTTAAAGTTTAATTTCTTACCCCAAAGTTAACTGTAATAAATCTATAACAGTTTCTGCGCAAGCCAATTCGACACAAAGTAAAGCCAATGTTGTATAAACTGCTTCGATATTATCTGGTACATTGGTATCAATTTGTAGGCTAGTATAAAGAGCATCGTATATAATAGGTCCATGTTTGTTAATAAATATCAAATCTGGTCTAGAAGATTTCTCTAATACCAAATCTAAATCAGCAACGTTGACTCTAAAAAGAATTTATATTAATAATTCTTTCTTCTAGTCTTGAAATATTGAAATAAAAGTTAAAGGAATTGTCGAAAACTTACGTGGGTTTAGAGAGCTTCTCGAGATTATTGTGCCTATCGATGAGAGTATGTAAAATTTTTTGTACTAAAAGACGCATATCGGGATCCGGCGCTAAAGACATTCTTAATAAAGGTTCCAAAAACGATACCGGGAAAGTTGTGTTCAAATGAATAGTCTGATATTTCGTACCAACCTAAAATAATAAGTTAAACCTCATTTCTATACATCTAAAGTTTCTAAAATTATATCAAACCTTCAATAAACTTTTTAATAAAATACTTTGCAACAGATTATCTGCCGGTGAATTATTGTTAACGAGCGGGAAAGGTATTTTGCTCATGATGAACATCATAATTTCGATTTTTTGGTAATCTGGAAGATGATTAGCGAACTCTCCTAAAGCGTTTATCAAAGCTTCTTGGTATTCCTTTTCCTCAGTTTGACTCGCTTCATTTTTCACCGAGTCTCTCAAGTGGCTGAGGAGAGAGTTGATTATTTCTAATACAGAAGGTCCTAAAAAATTTCGTATTTTGATTTTTGGTGTTTGTAATTCATTATTGTAATTATTTTTGTAAATTATATATAAACATAAACATCATTGCATATAGCGTTAACCAATATAGCATTTTAAATGGAAGAAAGATGATCCCGGCGGTGTCTTATGGAACTTCCTTATATTGCCAGTAAAAGTTATACACAAGTACAAAAATCTGTCTCTATATAAATTTGTTTATAAACCGCTCTTGGTAAACTAACAACAAAAAGAGCGTCAAAACTACAATAGTTGATAGAAAAAGCTTCATTGTTCTTCATGCTGGTGACAAAAATGGTTTTATTGATGAGGCAGAACTAGTGCTTTTATGAAATAGTAAAAATGAATTAATTATTTAAATAAAACATTTATAAATGTTTTCTTGAGATTCTCGAATTTTGTAACAACGTGGCAACGTCTATTTTCATAAGTTTATGTCGTGCATTGGAAATTTCATTGCGTTTACAGTTTACTATTCTTTTATTTCGTGCAAAAACATATCGGAGTCAAGGGTTGCCACTTATCTGGATTTTCAGATAAGTATGTTAAAGAGCTTTGATTGACAAGAAGAATCTTAAGAAGAGGCTTAAGAAGAATCTTAAGAAGAACCTTGAGAAGATTCTTAAGAAGAATCTTGAGAAGAATCTTAAAAAAAATCTTAAGAAAAATCTTAAGAAAAATCTTAAGAAGAATCTTAAGAATCTTTAAAAGAATTTTAAGAAGAATCTTAAGAAGAATATTAAGAATTTTGAGAAGAATCCTATGAAGAGGCTTGAGGAGAAACTTAAGACGAAGCTTGAGAAGAACCGTAAGAAGCTTAAGAAGACTCCTAAGAAGCATGAGAATAATCTTAAAAAGAATATTAAGAATTGAAGAATCTTGAGAATATTCTTAAGAAGAATTTTAAGAAGAATCTTAAAAATAATTTTAAGAAGAATCTTAAGAAAAATCTTACGAACAATCTTAATAATAATCTTAAAAAGAATCTTGAGAAAAATCTTAAAAAGAATCTTGAGAAGAATCCTAAGAAGCATGAAAAGAATCTTAAGAAGAATTTTAGGAAGAATATTTAAAAGAATCTTAAGAATCTTTAAAAGAATCTTAAGAATCTTTAAAAGAATCTTAAGAAGAATCCTAGGAAGAGGCTTGAAAAGAAGCTTAAGAAGAAGCTTGAGAAGAAACTTAAAAGGAAGCTTGAGAAGAACCGTAAGAAGCTTAAGAAGACTCCTAAGAAGCATGAGAATAATCTTAAGAAGAATCATAAAAAAATATTAAGAATTGAAGAATCTTCAGAAGAATTTTGAGAATATTCTTAAGAAGAATCCTAAGAAGCATGAAAAGAATCTTAAGAATAATTTTTAGAAGAACTTTAAGAAGAGGCTTGAGAAAAATCTTAAGAAGAACCTTAAGAGAGGCTTAAGAATAATCTTAAGAAGAAGCTTAAGGAACTTAAGAAGAATCATCAGAAGAATCTTAAGAAGAGTCTTAAGAATTGTATAAACAACATTGGAGGTTACAGGTTTTAAAAACAGCCACCTTTCTGTCATTGACTAATATACTAGTAACAAACATACAATTTAATCTTAAAGTAGTGGTATATCTTAAGAAGAGGCGTGAGAAGAAGCTTGAGAGAAATCTTAAGAAGAAACTTGAGAAGAACCTTAAGAAGAAGCTTGATAACAAGCTTAAGAAGAACCTTAAGAATCTTGATAAGAAGCTTAAAAAGAAGCTTGAGAAGAACCTTAAGAAGAACCTTAATAAGAATCCTAAGAAGCATGAGAAGAACCTTACAAAGCTTAAGAAGAATTTTAAGAAAATCTTAAGAAGAGGACTGAGAAGAAGCTTAAAGCTTGAGAAGAATCTTAAGAATTGAAAAAACAACATTAGAGATTACAAGTTCTAAAAGACAACTATCTTTCTGTCATTGACTAACATACTAGTAATAAGCATACAATAAGTAGTGGCACAAATTGGAGCTTCGCCCATAATGACCCATTCCAGTTTTGTTTCCATAAAAATTAGTCCGCATGAACATAACGTTTTCAGTATATAATTCACCAACTATATCTGACCCAAGTAAAAGATTGGACCATCTTCAGTATAATTTACAGTTAAACTAAAAATTGCTATTTCTTGTAACCAGAGACCATCGTAAATACAAACAATGTTCCTACATCTATTTTCCCTTGTACTCTTTACTTAGCTGCAAATAGTAAAACACCAAAGGTTACCTGGTTCGCTACTCATTTTAGTCACATGAATCATTTAATAAAGCAAAAATATCAAATAAAAACCGATAAAAATAGGACAAAGAGAATAACCAAACTTACCAACACTCTCTCCTGCGGCAATTGCAATTATTTTCGATAGCACACCGGCGATATTTGTTCTTATCGTCGGACTGGATTTCGTGTTATCATCGAGATGCGCCATCAGCGTTTCAACTACAGTATAAGAATATTGCGCCTAAAAATGGCACATTTTTTTTTATTAACACGTTGACGGACAGACAATACGAAATTATACAGTGTCTCAATCATATTTTGAAAACCTATTGACCGATTTTTTACCGGTTTTCCCTAATACTAGGACAGTTCCTCAAACGTCATTATAATAATTAAACTTTGAATATAAATGACAGGTATGATATATATTTAACTTATTAAAAACGGGGGTAAAATGAATCACAATACTAAATTATTACAATAAATTCTTACCTGAATAGAAAACATAATTATCCTAAATGTGTGAATAGCAAACTGGTTAGGTACCCACAATTTATGTAGGTCAAAATGTCTAAAAGAAAAAATATCAATATGTAGGATGCGTTTATGTCATTAAATTAGCTAGAAAATATTTGTTTAAGTGAAGATTTCTTGGAAAAGTATTCATATATTACACAACTAGATAACTGGCAGGTAGAGTGGTATTTTTTTAGGTAATAATATATTGAGTTTTGAGAATTTTTAATGGTCAATCTCTTATTAACTTTACTGACTTCTTAAATTATCTCCTAAATGGTAAATTTGGCATCGGCGCTTTTCCAAATGACAATATAATGTAAAGTATGACAATATAAAGATACGTCCCTATCAAGAATTATCTGTTTTCGTCAACCCACTTAATAGAACACAGTGCAGGTGAACACAAACGATGTTTTCGCCATAAGCACAAAAATGACCATAAAGAATGTCTTCTCGCGTTACAACACCTGTAAAGAAAGTCAAGCGAAGAGAGCCGAGATTAGACGAACTTTTGAAAAGAGAATTGTTTACAAAATATATTTATAATTTAAAAATACGCAAAGGAAAAAAATTTTAAGAAGATTTAACACTGAAAAATTAAATTTTACAATGAAAAACAAAGAATTATTATACTAACCACAAATAGTAAGTATTTTAATTATAAGAAATAACAAATAATAGTTCTGATGATACCAACAAGTCAACGGCCATATTGAATTTAATTTGACAGTTCGATTTGGTTAATAAAATGTGAAATTTACTACCATTGTTTAGGACCAATAAAAAATCGACTCCTATGACATTTATTCGTATCTTGACTCCGACTAGAGCCGATAATAACACGCCCTTTAGTAACAAATCTAGATACTTTTAGTGGTGTGAGTAAGGCTTTTCGAATTACTCCTCCTACAGAGTATAATAAAAGATAGTGATTGCAGATTCTGCGAGAAGGAGGATGAAACCTCCATTCACTTTAAATTATGGCAATACAGAATCCAAGAGGAGCATATCAATTAGAATTTTTTAGAGGTCGAGACTATTCCCTTCCTGTTTTAGTGACAGAAGAAGGTACAACAAACCTTTTAATCAGCAGTATATCTGACACCTCAATACATGGTATTTTGCATAAAATTACTATTAAAATTAAAAATTATTCGACCTTGGGAATAGAAAATATAATGTACAAAATTAAAGGTTAAAATAATTATTAACGTACCTAGTGTTTTGCTTATCTCAGTAAATTTGTGCACTTTAGTTTTTGACCATTAACATTTATTATCTATTTTAATTGTTATGTATATCCGTTTGTTATTTGAGTAAAGATTTAATTACCTATTGTGAATAGCTTACATCATTGTTTAAAAAAAAAAAATGATTGTAAAACAATATTTTGCAATATATTTCTGTATACACAGTTGAAAAAAAAAAATAATAAACCACCCTATATAGAAGATGGAATTCATTAATTAGTTACATTGTTTCCTATAGATGTAAAGTGGACTGTATTTTATGTCAATTTTAAAAACAATTTAAATTAATACTTAAAAATTATGCAAAATTAGATATACAATTCCAAAAAAAATTGAAAGCATTGCAATTATTAAAGATTGTACCTGAAAACTGGTCTAAGCACAGCCCTAATATGACCAAAAGATGCCCTCCCAACTAATTCTCTCATACAGGTTTCTGCTAGCATTGGGGGATCTAAAGTATCTTCTTGTCCACCATCAATAGCTTCCGATTCTTTTTTATGAAAACCAGATTCCTAAAATGTATATTCAATTTAAATAATTAATTTATAAAAAATTAATTAAATGCTTACTTGCATATTAAAAAGAAGACTTGGTACAATTTTATCCATATGTACAGGTTCCCAAATATTTTCAACAAGATCATCAGATACTGTTTTTCTTACAACAGCTTGCAATCCTTTTATTCCCGCGGTCCGGATTTTATCCCTCACTTCTTCTTTTTCTCCACTATGACACATCGCGGAAAATTTACTAACAAAGAAATCATACCTTCTATGATAAGACGGAGTATCTTCTTCAATATTAGCAAATTTTACAAACTATAAAGAAATAATGGACAAAAAAATTATTTTATCAATAATATTAAATTTAAACATACTGATTGGGTGGCTAAAATTTGTAATTCCGGTTCCGTGGATTCCAGTAATTTTTGAACCATTTTCAAAAAACTCTCCACAAATAAATTCAAAGTTTGAGCATGGCAAGCTAAAAGAAGTTGATCCATTGCTTCCATTGCAATAACAACAAAGCTGAAAGAAAAGTTCATTACCCTGAGAATTAATTTTATTGATTTTTCCAGGGAAACATGCAAACTTAATTCAGGAGATACGAAAAATCAATTAAGGGTAGTTTGTATAAAATAAAAAACATAGTATCCATGTGGTTTTATTTTTATATTAAATTATGCTAAATAATGTATTGAAATATCAAAAAAAATTGAAAGTAGTTATTGTTTTTATAAAATAACATGTAATTTATATTTTTAAAGATACAGTAAAACTAGAATGAAAATATATACAGGATGTCATATTTTAACGGCGTAATCTACATCCTAAAATAGGAGTAAAAGTTCATAAAAACATAGGTCCAAAAACGTTTCTTTTCCAATCTACAGGGTGTTAAAATATGAAGTTCTGATGACTGGAATGTTGTTTAAAGGAAGTTGGATCTGTTGATCGATTAAAAAAATATAGAAAAAAGGTTGTTAAATTGAAATAAATGATATATATAAGATAAAAAAATTACAGGATAATATTTCATTAAAAAATAATGTATTGGAGGAAATTAAGGAAGTAAATTCGCAATTCAATACTTGAATTGAAGATTATCCATATTTTTTAGGGGACACAGGCCCGACGAGGAGGCGCGGGGAGGGGCAAATTCCTTGGAGCCCTGGTCCAGGGGAACCTGGCAGCTTTAAAAAATAGGTTATGATATATATGGGGGGTCCTTCCCAGTCTTTTACCCCGGGGCTCGGCAGCTTTAAAAAATAGGTTAAGATTTGCCAGTCCTTTTCCCTGGAATCCACCATGGGTTATGGCGACCCTGAGGGGACATAACCATAACTAACACAAGACAGACCTGTTAACCACCTACAATTACCAATTTAAACCCTTTATTAAGCTCATAGGGCAAGGGGTGAGGACTGCTATATTTAGCAAAGTCATAATAGTAAACAACACAGCATATTAAAGGCAAAAATACTTGTCTTGACTCATGCAAACCCCTGTAATGAGCAATATATTAAACTTTGTATATATTTTTTTGCTGATGTGAATGATAAATATTTTTAAAATGTGAATAAATGTTTTTAAATAAAAAAATTAATTAGGATTTTTTTTAATTATTTCAACCCCATTTTTAATATCAATAAGCTCTATCCCCTTATTTTTACTAAAAATTTCATATTGATATCGTTTTTCGTTTTTTTTATATTTTAACCCACCCCTCCCCCCACCTTAACCCTCCCCAATTTATTCCAATTATATTCAAAACCAATAGACTTTATTGTCTTATAGAGCTTGATTTTTTTTACCAAAAATTTCATGTTGATATCACTTTTGGTTTTTGATTTGTTTTTTTAATTTTAACCCCCCGTTAACCCCCCATTTTTAATCAGTTTTATTTTTAAATTAAATGGCTTTGTCCCCTTATAAAGCTTTATTTTTATCAAAACTTTTAAGTTGATGTAATTGTTTTTAAGATGGTATTTTTTAGATATATCAACCTCCCCTTCACCCCCCATGATTATTATTACTTTGACTTCTCACAGAGCCTGATTTTTGTTAAAAATTTTATATTGATATCACTTTTTGTTTTAATTTGTTTTTTTTTTAATATTTTGACCCCCCATTTTTAATCAATTTTATTTTTTAAATCATAGAGTTTATAGAGCTTGATTTTTACTAAAAATTTCATGTTAATATCACTTTTTGGTTTTGATTTAAGATATTTTTTTTCAATTTCAACTCCCCTTAATTTTTCCCTGTCCCCCACTTATCGTGAGGACAAAAAACGTGACATCAGACTGACAGACAAAGTCCCTACTGTGTGAAGAGTGTAATAAACATTTTTGAAAATATTTTATAAAAAAAATAATAATTTAAATATCAAAACAAATCCACATGAAATAGATTCCTAAAAATTTTATAAATAAAAGTTTTCTTATTCTTCAGCTTTTTATGTCTTTATTACTAATCAAAAAACACAAAATATTGCTGTTTTACTAACCTAAAACTAAGAAAATTTGGTATTTTTTATTAGATAAGTTCTAAAAATGAATAAGAAAATCAATTTTGTATGACTTATTGGTCTTCATCCTGTATATAATATAGAAATTATATTTAAAATTGTTCATTAAAATATAAGCTTGAAAATAGGAACATCAAGTCACTCAATCTAAATATTTGTCAAAGTTCATCAGGCTTCCAAATTTTAATGAACATTTTTGTAATTGGCTGCAATCTTTTGGAAAAAATCAGGTAAACTAATTTGAAAAAAAACTCAACATTTATATAATTTACAGGAAATAAATGAGAAACTTTTAAAAAATGTTTTAATATATTTAAAATATAAAACAAAAGCATATAATTAAGTAGTAACAAAGGATTTATTTAAAAATAATATAAAAAATGTGTTGTTTTTATAAAAAAAAGTTGTGCTAGTATCCAGGAGTATAAATAAAAATTTGATTCATAAAGCAGAAGGTAAAAATATTCATAAATTTTGTTGTAATTAGTTTCATGTTATATTCTTATTATACGAACTATATCATAATTACTCATAACCAAACAATTTTTTATAAAAATAATGATAAGAATAGTCATGCAATTATTGTAAATGTCTCTTTTTTATATTATCACGCCTGGAGTGAATATATATCTTACTAACAATACATTTTACAGGAAAAATTAATTTGTTTCAGGGAAAATAGAGGATACATCCAAACTTGTTACTTTTCAAGAGAATTGATTAAAGCTGAGGTGCTTTTGATGTACTTTACCAACTTTTTATATGAAAAGTTGTATAAGAAAATGTTGTTAACTCATTTTGATCCAAAAATTACTTATCCCCTTATTCCCTGAAACCACAGAATTATTTATTCTGCTCTCATCTAGAGCATATTGAATGAATGGATACCATTTTTTTATATATCTTATTAGTAATTGAGTTTCTAAGGAGGTGTGACCTGGAAAATAAGGGCCTTGCTTTTGGTTTGGTTTCCTGAACGGAATATCAATTTTGAAAATACCAAATTTTCTTACATCTTAATTAACAACTTAAAAGAGTTTCTATGATTTTATAGAAAAATGGCTAAAAGTGCTTTTTAAAAACTATCATTCTTATTTATAAAACTCAAGGCCAAAGATGTTAATTTGAATAGGTGTCTTATTAAAATACTAATAATCTAGAGAAAGGGATTTAAAGAAGGAATTTGTTACAGTGCTTTAATTGTGTAATTTCAAATTTACAGAAACTATTAATTTTACTAAAATTATAGCGTAGGAATCAAATCAAAGTCTCAAAAAAAATGTAACAGTACTAACCCATATTTTTTTCTGTAAATATCCCTAGCAGCTCTTTGATATAAATATTCTCCTATTCTGTCTAGCTTTTCGGGCGAGCTGAGGGAGTAAAAGGTAAGTTTTTCCATATTCGATTTAACCAAACCATCTTGGGGATAAACTGGAAATATATTATCTACTAGTCTTTTATATCTAGGTCTAAATGCACTACAACATCCACAGCAACCTAAAACGAAAAATCAATAAACCACATTTTTAACGTTGTTGAATTTTAATACCACTCCACATTTTTACTGCAATTTGGTAGATGTTACGTGCATGTAAATTGTTATTAAACTATTTATATTGATTATGTCGTACGATTTCAAAGTTTTTGATAATTTGAACATTGACACTAATGACAGTAGTGAGACAGTGACTTTGACGTTGTCATCAATTGCTACGTTGCCAAGTGTTATACGTATATATCAATGATATAGTTTATATAGACTGCTTATCCACATATAAACAAGAAACAAGACGACGAAAAGCGAGTCATGTTGTAGTCGTTCATATTACCTTGTCGAGTGCTCACCAGGCAGAATCGGTCTGGCCCAAATGAGCTTAAAACTCAATTTCATTAAAGTAGGAATTGAAATAAAAAAATAATTACCTGAATGTTTACTTCAAGACAAGAGCTTGCGTTACGTATTTTAAATGAAAATATATATTTGTTTGAGTCGTAAAGTTTAATTCTATATTTTCAAAACATTTTAAGAGATCTAAACAATTTTGAACATATTTTTAAACAATTTTACACTCATGTGAAAGGATCTTTAATAATAATGGATTTTTTTAGACCATTGTATAGTGGCAGTATTTGGACACTTGATTATTCTTATTGGACATCCTCTGAATGGTCAAAAGTGTGCCATTTTTATACTTTACTGGACGTTCATTGAATGTCGGAAGTCCAGAAAAAACTCATTTTTGGACGTCTGGACATCCAAAATTATATATCGAATGGACGTCCAATGTACATATTTGTATTGTCTGGGTGATAGCCAGGCCAGGTATTTAACTCTAAATACATACACCTTAAATGACACCCGGGTTTGTTTACCTTATTTTTATTTAAGGAAAAGGTAATTTAATTTAAATATGGGACTTTTATTGCATTTTTAACAATAAATAAACCAAATATTGCACAAATTTTATAGATAAATTATTAAATAATAAATGTCTTTTACTTTTATAACAAATAATTAATTATTACATAATGAATTATATTTTGGTGCCGAAATTTCACAATTGCTATTAATCCTAACTACTTCAATGTAATTAAATCACATTACAACATTTGCGCATGGCCTATAACAATGATTTCAGATAATTTGCCAAACTATTTCGCTCAGTGTAGAAAATAAGCATATTTTCTCAGCGTATTAAGTTGTGTATTAATCAAAGTCATGTTTTCAAAAAAGTCCATCCGATATCAAAGGCACTGACAGCTACTGTCGCTTCTCCTTGATCGGTATTCTCGGATTTAACGCCACTGCAACGCATGCGCATTAAGGAATTTAAGGAGAAAATACAACCAAAATTATACACATGCATTATTGGTTGCCTAAATCAATTAGCAGGACTGGATTGTCTCCTCCGCCATCCTGTTTTTTTACGATATATTTTCTTATTTAAAAGCTTTTTTATATTTAAAGATAAAAAAATAACTGACTTTTTAGAGTAACTAAATTATTTTAGTGTTGAATATTTTTTATTTATAATAGCCTATTCTCAAAATATTAAAATCTGCATATTTCCTTCTTTACAAAAAATTTGGCATCACTGCAATTTGTTCTTATAACAGAATTTTGCTGTGTGTATTGTTGGTTGCATATATACTAGGAAGTAAATATGTATCAAGCATGGTATAAGTTTATGCCTACAAAAATTATAAAAATCATATTAGATTATATAGATAATTTATCAGAAATAAAAATGATATTGAAATAATTACTTATGTTAAGATACCTACGTACGTTTGGAACATATTTAGATATTAAGCGGGCAATAATAATATAATTACATAGGTACAAATCTTCAATTTAGCACGTTTTTGTTTATTATTGTACCTATGTAATAAGTTGAAGTGTAATTATTTTGTATCTACACATTTTTAACATTATAGGTAATCAATATTCTTGTTATCTAAATAACTAAGTACTTATGCTTGAATTAAATGGTAAATACTTTTCGTATTGCATACCTAGGTACCAATATATTTTGTACAAAATAATAAATGTTTTACTTACATCCAGATTCTGTACACTTTTGCAAAAACGTTTCCATAATATCACTCATTTCATGGCGATCAAAACAGCACTTAATTATAGACATTTTATTTGAAGTTTTAACACACCGTTCTTATATTTTGTTCATTTAATACTAACTTAATAGTTGCATTTGTAATTCATTGGATTTCTCTTCTTTGATTATCAAACCATGAAGTTTTATTTCTTTATTAGAGCACCTATTTTAGCGGGTAATTATGAATGTATACCTAAAAATTCATGATAACAAAAAATTAATTCACGTAGGTATAATAATAGCAATAAATTTTGTTATTCACAGTTTTGAGTATTAGTTGGAATAATTTAGATATCTTGTAAAAGCAATTTTTATTAAATATTCTGAGAAATTAGTTAAATATATTAAAACGATAATACAAATCGATTTACATTACTATTAATTAGAACATATATTTTTCACATTAGAAAACATATAAAGCAATTTTAAGAATTTACGATTTAAATTTGAAAAATCATAATGAAGTAGAAGCCAACGGCGTATCCAGGTATTTTATTTAGGGGGTGTATGGGCGTCAGCAGGAAAAAAGTCAGGGGACCCAATCGAAAAAAAAAGTTTTACTTTGTCAATAATTAATTGTATATGTATAAAAAACAATAATAATGAATTAACAAAACGAAAAACAAGTGGGGGCAACCCCTGTCCTTCTGTCCCCCTGTCCTGCTTTCTTTCTGTCCGCCTTTCTTTTTATCCCTCTGTCCTTTTGTTACCCTATCCTGTTGTATTTTTGTTCCCCTTTCCTTCTGTCCCCCTGTCCCCCTTTCCAGATGCATATGAGGGGTTGTGGGTGTGACATTTTGTATAATGTTAAACGAGAACACTTCAGCTGTATCTATATGTGCTGAAGTTCGGGATGTGGACTTCTTTTACTCTTTTAACTCTGGTTCGGAATGTGAACTCATTTAAAAGGAGTTTACATTCCGAACTCAGCAATACAATAAAATATTTGGATACTTATTTTAGCCAAGTTTTGTTAAAGCAGCATTGAATTATCATTAATATTTAGGGGAGGGATTCTAACCCCTAAACTCTCACTTGAGTGCGCCATTGTCAAAACGGTATGCCTAGAAATTAGAAAACCTATAAAATAATTCTAAGAATCTTTGAATAGTTTTCAGCAGAGTCCTATAAAGCCTATTTACAACTAAGCTACCTATAAGTACCTATATAAAAATTAAAATGATTTTAGAATTGTTTAATTTTTTAAAAAGCTACTTTTGGAATCAAACCCAAGAAAATCTTCTGAAATATTGTATATCAGCTCGAAAATATAGTGATTTTCCAAATATATATATATATTTATAATTATTCAATAGGCGTTGTGACTAATGGAAAATTTTGTTTTCTTTTATATTATATAGACTACGGTTACTTACTAAATTTTTCAGATAGTTACATTTATTAATATTGTTATTATTATATTATTTTTTAGCTTATATTCAATATTGATAATAAAATAATCTTAAATTTGTATCATTTGATCTTTCAAAACATCTCTTACCCTTTATTACATTCACAAATGCTTATTTATTATCAAGAAAAACACATATCAGTATTAAATGAACACAAACAATTAAAAATTCTTAATTTTAAATGTAGTTTTAAACATATTTGTATTTTTTTTTTAACAAAAAACAATGAAAATATTTATTTATCTTGCGAATTACCGCGACGCCGCACCACCGACGTGATATTCAGCGTCGATAGCCTTATTTGTACTATAAAGTAACCTACATTTCGCTAAGGGGTTGGGACAATATTCTAGTCTCAGCGGTATACCTAAAATTGAATTATTATGTAGGGGCTGTTACTAAAAATATGGTATTTATTTCCTCCACATACATATCCTGGCCATACAGCATTCTTAAGGTAGGATTTTGGTAAATATCTTATAAGCTACAGAATCTATAAGATATAGTAATGTAATTTTGGCTTACAGTTATTATAGAATGTCTCAGAATCGATTCATAAGTGTGTCCCGAACTATAGATGCTTTTTTTTCTAGGAGGATCAGTCCCCATTCTACGTTTATCCTACTACATATCTTCCTATCCATTAAAATCTCTTCTCTATTAATTATTTCTTTATTATATAAATCTAATGCTTCATAAACCTAAAAATTCAACGTTTTTACGTCATTCGTTTAAAATTAAATCGTTTCTCATTTTTTTATGCTATGAACTTGAGTCGAATATGAAATTGAAATCCATTTTTTTATTTTAATTATGATACATTTGGTGGTAGTATTTATACTATATCGCTTAGCCTAAGAAACCAAATCGCGAAGCCTGGTAGTGAAAACAGCGAAACAATGAAACAGTAAGTGAAAAATACGCGGTAGGGCTTTATTGTCACATATACGATTTCGTTGAATTTGCTTATAAGAAAAATCTATATTGGTAAATTAAAATCTTTACTATTCTTTTCAAACGGAGACTCTATCTATGGAATTAAGCACTGGCAATTAAAAAATTGACACGATTTTGTAGATACGTCAAAATGTTTTAAGCAGTGGCGCAGCAAGACATTTTTCATGGGAGGGGTTTTTGAGAACTATGGAAGGTTCCATTAAGAAAGTGAATAAAAACAAATAGTCAATAGCCATCAGCGCCAATACTATAGCGAAAATGGTGACGCAAGGACCCTCCATTGGGGGTTCTGATCCCCAATACCCCCTCCGTGCCTACGCCACTAGTTTTAAGTATTTTTACCAGTTAATTTTTCAGATACCGCATTTTCAGGTTGTAAGATTATAGAATAATATCATAGCAATCCATATATTTCGTTTTTTGATTGAAGAGTACAGTATACATGTCCTAATTCCGACCGAAAATACATCCGTGTCCCATAATTCTACACATATTTATCTGGGACAACCTGTAGCGAAAGAAATATTTCCTTTCATAAATTGTACGCCGAGATTCTTGTTGAAAAAAATCGCATACGGGTAGTTAAGTATCTGAAAGAAGAAGAGCATTTCGCCGAGTTGAGTAAGGAAACAATTTTAAATAAAACGGTCGCGATGAGGAATGCTGAAATGCGTTACGATAAATTACTAGATTTTATAGATAGCACAAAAATTATCTGATTTATTTCAAGTGAGCACGTGAGAATTTTATTCTTTG